GAGAGAGAGAGAGAGAGAGAGAGAGAGTGTGTGTGTGTGTGTGTGTGTGTGTGTGTGTGTGTGTGTAATAAGATGGGCTGAAAGGGGGAAATGGAGGAAAAGAGAGGGGTTCGCTTCTTCGGCTCGCTCCCAGATTCTACTGGATCATAAATAAAACTTATGTCGAATGCGAATATTCATGGCATGATGATTTGTTGGTTGATTATCTGTTTGTCATACATATAAAACTTTACTACGAGGAGTTATCAGTTTGGTATTAAGTGTCGTGTTTATCTGGTTTTTGTTGGATGGAATATAAGTTAGTATGAGATGAATAAGATTACAATACTCGAGTACAAGACAAGACACCACTCACTGTATTTATCGATCCCACCAATAAAACACCAGCTAGCTAGCTGTATAATACTCGAGTAGACCTAGGTAAACAAAGTATCCGAGTATTCATCCTCATACATCATACCAACCAAACGAGTTCAAACCAATTCAGTGATCAATCAATCAGAGAACCTATTCTATTCTATTATACACCAATCCAAGCCCCATCCCCCCTAAAAAAAAAAAAAGAAAGCGAAAGCGGTGCTGACAGTGAATGATTATGATTAATGGAAGTTAGATTGTGTGATAGAATCAAGATAGAATGAATTCGAAGGTATTGATTGTTATGTCAATTAGATGGCTAAACCAGAAACATGAAAAGTGAATTCTGGAGAAGAACTTGGAAGCTGAGAGGATGAGGAGCTCATAGATGCTAGTAATGGGATTATAATCAAGTGATTGGATATATAAGATGATGTAGAAACCATGTATAAGATGTATATTGTAGCCAATCCAATCCTGAATTGAAATAACTGTATTCTCAATTGACGCTAAAATCTTTTCATACATTCTGCCATTCACAACCTAAACCTGCTGCTGATCCATCTGGGTATTTCGCATAAAAGTAGAGATGAGATATCTAATATGAAAAATGTCCATCCGCCCACCCCTATCTTGAAAACACCGCTCGCTTCATGACTCATTAATAATTCATGCTGTGCTGCCCGTCCATATACATTCGCACCTCTAGCGATAGCCCCTGTTCCCTTTCAGACTGAGATTTCGACCCTCCTAGTTACCCGATACGTAAGTGGCCTTTACCCCATGCACTACTATATTAAGCCATGTTCCAGGCCTTGACAAGTAAATTCGCGACCAACCCCGTAGTCGCTAAAACGATAAAGATGTTGAAGACTTCCCACCAGTGCTTTGGTCTAACCTCGGTCTCAATGAAATCCTCCACGGTCCCTTTTTCTGAATTCGCGTTGGCCGGGAATCGACCAGTAGTCATATATTGCTCCATCAAAGCATCTTTTTCATACCATTTCTCTCGTAGCCATACTTCGAATTTTTCAGGGTTATCCAATGGTATATCGGCGATTTTGAATCGACGCCAAAAGAGGTTTACTGATTTTGGTGGCCGTCCCTCGATATATGACGAGGTCAGGGTAAAGTAATCCTGCCCGAACTTCCCTCTCCTATTAAGTCATTAGATTAAGCCAGTCATTTTGATGAAGGTAGTACTTACGGGACACCTTCGTAGGCCATTGTACAATCATAGACATAATCGACAGTCTTTTGCAACTCATTCAAACAGAAAAATGTGCCAGTACTCCTTGGAAGGAGGACATGTTCCATATCCTTAACACCTATTTTCTCTGCCCATTTTGCACTCGCTGCCCTTCTATTGTCGCTTGCATTGGTACCCTCGGGAAACAATAGAAGCCACATAGGATCGAGTTCCGAGGCCCCCGGGCGTTTCTCTTGAAGCTGCTTGAATCGATGGGCCATTACTGGTCGGTCTTTTTCCATCTTTCTCGACATAAATATAAAATTAAAGAACTGCATCCCCCAACCTATGATCGGAACCCATTTGAGTGAATCTTTTGCAATAATGTAAATGTAACCGTGTGTTTGAGGCTGGTTAGTATACGCTACCCACCAGAGGTAGAGCCAATCCGTATAAAGCTATCAAATATTAGTATAACAAATTCTACGCGTTCGTTCCAAAGGCGTAAAAACCTGATGGTTCGCAATCATAACCAATCTTTCAGGGAAATCGCATTCTGCCCTCCCATCCGCAGATTTCCGCAACTGCCCTGCTACCGAAGCATCACCACTTATTCTGACCACCGTTGGACTCCACCATTGTGTCATGGTCGTTATCACAAGCCCAAAGGACTGTTTTGTGAGTGCCATCCAGGAATAATAGATGTCTCGATTCAACCAATACAAAGGTATGCCGATAAGTTGAGTAGCTTGGATTCTTGTACAGGTCAGCAAAAAATCTCAGAGCTCACCCAGCACAACTTACGTAGAACAACAAGCCCAGAAGTAAGTCGCAAAACTTAACATTCTGCAAACCTGTGCGACAAATCCATGCTTCACTTCACCAGAAGGATGTTCTCCTATCGCCTTTTCCCTAGTGCCTCCTCCAAAATCCGGTACAGGTGCTGGCATAGTTGAAGCTTTATGTCTTTGCTTGAGATTTTGGTCTGCCATGACGGTTGCTTGATTGTTTGGAAAACTAGATGTCTTTTGAGAAAGAAGCAAGCTTTGAGCTTTTATAAAAGTCCCCGCAGCGAGGCTCTCTTAAGTGATATTAGACTAGGCAGATTTGTCGTGTGCTAGGAAAGGCGGGAGGGCGCGTGGGCTGGAAGGCTAGGAGATTGTACCACTGGTAGCTAGCTACCTAGGTAGGTACAGTACCGCTACCGCTAGGTTGTTTGGTGGGGTGAGTTAAGTCGTTGCCAGAAGCTTTGAATGAGTGAATTAGCGAATGAATTTTATATACGAATAAGTTTTAATGTAAATACATTCTCAAAAATTCCCCTTCATCATGATAACATGTAGGTAAGTATCTTTCAGAAATGTTGAAGTTTTCTTTTGGTGATTGTTTAAATTAAATAATTGTGAAATAAATTACCTATCTAGGTATACTCGGTATAAGATAAGATATAGATAAGTATTAGGTAAGCTTTGTTTTCCTCGGTCGGTTAGACGACGTTATTACAGTAATTACAGTAATTATATAAATAAAGAGACAAGACAAGAGATATAATTAAGTGTAGCTTTAGATCAAGCAAAGCTGCATTATCATCCCATCACCATTAAATCTTATCTTACCTTACCGTACCTTACCCAACATATCAATAAACAACGGAATTCTCAATCTCAATCCTCAAGTTTCCCTCCACCAATAATCAATCTCAATTGTACCCCTCTTGTGTCCCGTCTCTTACTCGGTCTACTGTTAAGCTTCCTACTCGAGTAGATCGATTTGTGTAAGATCATCTCGGCGCTTTTGTCTATGTTTGTACAACGAAATCATTTGGATCTCTTAATCTCTTACGATTTTTCAAGTTCAACATGTTCCCGAGGACTTTGCCAAGAATTCACTCCATACAGTTTAGATCTTTTAGCAGCACAACAGCAAGATCCAAGATCTTAGATATAACACATTTGCCGGATAAAATAGTTCCTAGATATCATCGTAAGCCCACACACATGTGATCCCTTGTACTTTGAGGCACATATTCACATGAAAATATGTAGGAACTCAGGAGAATGATCTTCTTTCTTTACAATGGCCTTCACCTCCTCGGAATCTCTTAATCATAAAGAAAGATCGCTCCCCAGCCGTCTCAGAAGCTCTCCTTGAATATGTCAAGTTCGTGCAATATATTCTTACCTGGAAGAAGATCACTCAGCTGACTGAATACCAGACATATACACTCAAACTACAACACTGCAGCTCTCATATTCGAGCAAAAGGTGGCCGAGAGTATACATGATTCCTTGGCATTTCCAATATACACCACTAACCTTCCATCTCTCTTCCCGTCCAAAGTTGACATGGTAACGACTCTCGGTGGAGATGGAACGATCCTACATGCATCGTCTCTTTTCAGCACAACCCGTCATGTCCCTCCAATTCTTTCCTTCAGCATGGGTACCCTTGGCTTTTTGGGAGAATGGAAATTTGCTGAATATAAGCGAGCCTTTCGAGAAGTCTATATGTCGGGCGCTGCTGCAGGGTCTCACCTCTTTCAAGACGAAATGCATTCTCATATCCAAACCTCTACTTCAGGCAAGGCTAACATTATATCTGGCTGGTCGAGTGTTAGAGGCAAGTCTATGGGATCAACCAGGAGTTCGAAAGTGCTTCTCAGGAATAGATTGAAGGTCGAGGTATTTGATGCGGATGGCAATAGTACTCAGGGGAGAGCAGAGGGAGATGTGCATGCCATGAATGAAGTTATCATTCATCGGGGGAAAGAAGCTCACCTGGCTGTCATTGAGGTCTTTGTCAATAATCAATTCTTGACTGAGGCTGTTGCCGATGGTATGATAATTTCCACACCGACGGGAAGTACAGCATATAGTTTGAGTTCTGGTGGTAGTATCATCCATCCACTTGTCAGCAGTCTTCTTTTAACACCGATCTGCCCGAGAAGTCTCTCATTTAGACCCCTAGTTGTACCTGCGAACACGCCAATCAAACTTCGACTGAGTGCAAAGAATAGAGGAAGGGAACTGGAAGTTAGTATCGATGGACAAAGACGAAGTATAGGGGTTGGTGTCGGCATGGAAGTAAGAGTTCAAGGTGAGGAAATGATGAAAGGCAACAGTGAGTGGGGTGGAGGCGTTCCCTGTGTCATGAGAGGGGCCAAAAGTGGCATGAAGGATGACGACGGCTGGGTTGGAGGCTTGAATGGTTTGCTGAAATTTAACCATCCTTTTGGCGAAGAATGATGGTTTATTCGACCGAATAGTGGGTATCAGTGTTGCTACCGAGGCTAAATTGATCAACCCCTCATTCGTAACATGATCATCAATTGGTACGTTTCCGTAACCCATAACTTCATCGTTCTAGACCTGATGCTACATAGGGAATCTTGACCTGCGTTGTTCTGGCGTGGCCGAAGACCAACGCCCAAGCCGTACTCAATCTGAAGTAGTTTTAAGTATACTACCACTTTTGTGACTGGGCATTCTGTGTCGGCCAAAAGACTCGGGATTTGAGTCTACTACAAGTCGGGGCGGCGCATGTGTTCAGTTACGAGTAATCATCCCAACACTCATTAACCCAATGTGAATACTTGTACGTTACGAAACCATGACTATATGACTCACCATGGAACATTTATAGATCTCATGGCTTTTCGATCTGGTTTTGATCTTGGTAAGATCTATCCTTACCAAGAACTTGGACTATCAGAAGACTCCATTCCAAATATTGTGGGAGGGTCGTCACTCAGCCGCCAGTTTTTTCGTTGGGAATATACAAGTAGTGCAACGAGATTACAATGTTCGGATGTTGCCCTCGGTACTTTCGGTTACTTCGTGTTATTGCCGTGTTAGCAACGGCGATCGTGTAAAAGTTCCGACTACTAGGTATGTCAACAGTGACATGTTTCTATCATATTTCCGATTCTTATTTCAACGTCTTCGGTCTTCACCGAGTACTAGTACGCCGTTGTTTATCTACAGTCAAAACCTGCAGTACGTCTTTCAAGAGCCCCAGTTGCTTTGTTGAGTTGGTACTCTTCAGTCTACCACGTTCCTGGGGTTTCTTAAATAACTCGGCGTCGTTGTAGTATCTGAGATCTTAAGTATACAGCACGTTGGAATCTCTCCTATTTGATAGCTCGTATCAATATATTGAGATCAAAGACGATCAGAAATAGTTCGCCGTTTTCTCTTGATACACAAACAACCGATGAAACGGTACAGATGATACGTCAATCTAGTCACTCATCAAATTTCCTTATATACCTTTCACGCTATTTGAATAGTTGTCATACGTGATGGAATAATCTGACGTTCAAGCTAGAACGTAGTTGAGGCAAGTTATTACTAGACAATGTGTATTTGTATGCCCAAAAGCCACCAGTAAGGAGAGCTCCCTGTGCGACTTTCATTACATCTGTGTGGAGTATCACTTGTTCAATCTCGTATCTTGCTTCTTGGTCGTTCTTGATTCTTCCTGCTTGGTTCGATTACGTTGATGGCCACGACCGAATATCCGGAAGATCATCCTCGATGAGGTATTTACATCTTCGGAACATGACAATTCCGGCGATGAAGAACATTTTTGGCTGAATCAGGCAATATCATGCAACAATACAGAGTCTGGTTCTCTTGAAGTGATGTGGAGTCCAGGTGAGGTAGTCATTGGGATGTGGGAATCTTCCATGAAAACAGATATATAAAGACAGGCAGGAGCAGCCAACCAATCTTTCCTCATCGCAACAAGAACATCCAGTCTTCAATCAACAACAATCTCAACTAACAACGAACAATCGACAACCTGAATAACTCCACAATTCAAGTCACAACTTCAATCTATCATCAATCGCCATGCATTTCACACAAGCTGCATCTGCCATTTTGGCCACTCTTGCCTTCTCTTCTACCGTTTTGGCTGGTGTCCTAAAGACAGCCGATAGTTTCTGCTCCAGCGCTGCAGGCTGCACATGGCAGAACCCAGCTGATTGGAAAGGTGTTCTTGAGTGCAGCTGCAATCTTGCTTCACCGGACGGAACTTCAGTGTATGGACTTCAGTTTCTCTTCCTATCACTCACGATTTTATCCCACCAATGCGCATCCATAACATTTAGAGTCGAAATAGTAGGCTAACACATTCATCAGGCTTCTCATTCAAGGCTATACCGACTGGAACTACGAAGGATTCGTCTTCAACGGTTATTCCACCACTGGCGTATGCAATAACTTGCCTGCTCTCTTCAACAAGAATACTGAGTCGATGAACATCAACACTGCCAACACTCCCGGCTGTTGGATCTATACTCAAGCGAATGTAACAAACTCCTTTCGTTTAAAAATCTACATTTTCTTGCCTAAAATATACTTCATCTCGGATCAAGTCAAGGAAACACTAACGAGAATATCAATAATAGTGCGTCGGCGACTATGCTGTTATCGACAAGAATGGTATCTCGGAAATGCAAGGCATATACGACCACGGCGTCCAAAGTTATATCTGCGATCCTTTGACTTCTTAAATTCTCTCCCATCTTTTCCCGGCGGTCACGGTTACATACATAATACGATGTGAACATGAATAGAGTTTTCTATAACTTGATGGAATTAGTATCGACTGGTAATTGAATGAGCGAGCGAGGGCCTGCGAAAAAGGTTGGGGTGGTTGGAATTAGACGTGGCATGGGAGGATTTCTTTCTTCATCTCTTCTGCTTTTTTGGACTTTTGTCTTCTTTGATGGGATGGATGGAAAGAACGAGTGGTGATTTATTCTCTTTTGTTAGAGGCGAGGGGGAGGGTTTTTGGAGAAGATGATTTTGGGACTTTCGAATACTTCTTCCAGGGAGAATCCAACATTCTCACCCATTTTAACTCTTTTGATTTTCATTTGTTATCGCCAGGTATTGGTAGTTGGTGTTAGGTAGCAAGCTATATTATCTATTGAAATTACTTCATTCCTTTTCAGCCCTTGACTGGACTTGAACTGCAATCGGCTCATTGGTACTTGTGCTTCGTTTTCATTTCATGATTCTACACCTCCACATAGTTACATTCTTCCTGCCAAACCTTATCGCTCTCTGAGAATTTAAGATGAATGTCTACCCACAAACCTTTCAAACAGTATACCTGAAGTCTGGATGTCTGTGACCCAACTCCCCTACATTCCCCTCCACCAACCTCCCATCCCTCATGCCTCTCTCCCGCATCCGATTCTCCCACCTACAATAACCCATCGTAACACTAGTAACCACCAAACACAAACCTAACATACCGAGATTGATAGCATGCCCGGTTACATACCGAGGTTCATCTTCCGCGATATATGTAAAGGTAGCGATGAAGGCGGCAATATTGGCGAGGCCGATTTGCAACCCCGAGGCGGACGCGCGTACGTAGTGAGGGGAGGTGTTGTTTGCTAGCCAGCCTGATGGCAAGGAGTGGGGGTTTAGTTTTAGGGGAGATGGCGAATATGAACTTGAAGAGGAAATAGGGAGAATGGGGGGTTTGGGATTGGGGATCGGGGACCTACCCATGACTATAGGTGGACATGCAAAACTTCCAGCAGCGACGAGAAATGTGCCACCGTATTGGATATGAGGTTGTGAGGTGGTGATGAGCATTATATAACCGATTATAGCGATGCTGGCGCAGATGAGCATGAAAATGCCGCGGCGTTTGAAATAATCGGAGAGGGAGGTGACGAGTATAACGCTGAGGAAAGCGACCATGTTTGGGGGGACAGTTAGGAGATTCGCTAGGGATGTATTAGTTGGGATATCACTGATGTCATGAGGAGTAAGAAAGAAAGGGTAAGGGAAAAAGAGGATCCATTACCATTTACTCGGGTATAACCCAGAGCCGTGATAATCGTGGGTAGAAAAAGAGAAAAAGAATAGATAGGAGTGATAACAGCAAAGAAGTTCAGTGAAAGCAGCCAAGTATTCCAATTGAACACAGCAAGTCTTACCCAATGCCAGCTAAACTTCTCATTATCTATATTGGCAACGGGAGAAGCACCACGATAATCAAGCTTCATGCGATGAATAGCGACGTATCTTTCTTCTTCTGTCAGAAATTTTGAGTGAGAGGGTGTATGGGGAAGGAAGAATATTGTTATGATTCCAAAAACAATAGTTATAGCTCCCTCGACGAAGAAAATAAACGGCCAACCATTATACCCTCGAGTTTTGATTTCTGAAAGTCCTGTGGCGAGCAGACCGCCGAAGGCTCCTGACAATGGAGCGGCGCAGTAAAATAGACCGATTCGACGCATGAGTTGGTGACGGCGGTAGAACATGGCTAGATAGATTATAATACCTCCTAACAATCCACCTTCCATCAACCCGAGGAAGAAACGAGCAACGAGTAAACCTTTCCATGTTTTTACCCATCCGATGCAGAGACTTATAATACCCCAGGCTATGATCATGCTGGGAAGATAGTGACCAGCGCCTACTCTTTTGACGAGCCAATTTGATGGAACTTCATTGTGGCATTAGCATCAGATGCAGAAACATCGGTCAAAACACATACTATCAACACAAATGTAAGGAACATAGAAGATAGCCAGTGCGATATTAAACTTGGTCCCCTGGAGAATCCCCAAGTCCGCAGCCAATCCATCAATCTTAGCATTCCCAATATTAGAACGGTCAATGAAAGCTAATAGCCACAGTCCAAATAGCCATGGCACAATATGTCTATCGAATTTCTTAGTGATGAGACGATCTAGCTCTTTTGTAATTTGAACTTCTTCGCCTGGAGGAGTGATGTCCACATTCTCGACTTCATCTGTTACGACTTTCTCCTCTCGTGTCTCTGACTCGAGATTTTCTATGACGCGTTTTGGGGTTTCTGTGGTTGTTGCCATGGTTGACTTGGCGATTATTTGTGTCATAGATATAATTGAATGTTGCCAATGCGAGAATGAAGTCCATCGGAGGATTTTTTATGAAAACTCTTGGTATCACTGTATAGATGTAGGCAGATAAGAAGTGAAGAAAACGGCATTTCGAAGGAAGGTAATGCGGGGTTGGACAAGGAGGGCATGTAGAATGTAAGCTGAATCCAATGACCTTATCCAATGAAACGTCGTCAATTCGTCTTGAGGGTGAGCAAAATGTAATACACTGTGTGTATATGATTGGATAGATGGCAATGGTTGCATCAGTGTCACCGAGTGACAAGATAACAAGGTACCATCGTACTAACGGTTAAGATAGTGCCATCTTCACAGACTTCCACTTATGTCCAGATCTCATATCTAACTTTAGAAGGCTGCGAACTTAGATGAACTAAGCGAAACATAAAGCCTAATGAATGAGAATTAGAACTATGAGAAGTCACGCTTGATCAAGTTTAGAAGGTAGACTATCATTTCCAACCCATAATTGCCCGATGTTTCAATTTCCGCCAATATCAGCCTATATGAACCCGTTTGGTCTCTTCTTAAACCACAAATAACAACCATTGCCACATTAAACAGGATAGAGCTAGTAGCTACAAAAAAAATCGGTTTTTCCGCAACATGCATCCGCTTGCTGATCTCGAAAAATTCATTCCAAACAGCTAAACTGTTGCTTGTAATGACTCTTTACACACATATCTTATCTTCTAGAGTCTTGTCTTCGCTTCTCAAAGGTCAGAGGCTCACATATTCTGACCTCAGATCCCTGGTCACAAGTGAAATCTTGTGTATAACAGATAAACCTAATAGTATATCTTACTTTGTGCTCCAATTTTGCCTCTGCTCTCCTGTCAACAGCATATACTCTTTCGTCGGCTACGAGTATTTCTTCGTTCCAAGATTCCAAACTTGAATCCAATAGCACCTCCAATTTCTGCATAAAAATGTAGAGTGACCATTCGGCATTTTTATCTGCAATGGTCTTTTTGATCCGCTGCCACGTATGAATAGTTGACGTAACTTATTTAGCTGGTGTTTATTCATTCTCTTGACTTGCAAAAATAGCCAAGATCAATCGATCGGCCAAAAACTTCTTTTTGATAGCGAGTTCACTGTGAATTGACTTTTTGAGTCGTTCCTGATCAAGATCGAAAAGTTCGAGACTCGGGTCCACGTGCTCTATAAGGAGCGCTTCGAACTCTTCATTTTCATCTTCGTCATTGTTCAGGAGACTCGGAAAAATCGAAAAACTCCATGCTCCTGGTGGTACTTGAGGACATCGAAATGCTCATATCTCTATTATAATAAAAATTTGATATTGACGAGGTAAATGAGACATGGTGTTTGTAGTGCTGCTTAAGATTGAGAGCGGGGAATAACTGGAGCCGATCAGGAAGGAGGGCATTCATTTTCAGTTATTCATCGTAATCCTTGGATAGTCATGGTGGGTTTTGATGCCAAAAGCGAATCATTTATTTCTGTTGAACAATATCTGGATGGATGGTCTAGGGGTGGTGAAGGATGTATGAAAGGGTAAGAAAGGGGATAGCAGAAGAACATATATAAAGTTCGGTAATGTAATTGCCTAAGTAAGCAAGTAGAAAATACATTATGGCTCTCGATTGAGGGTATATATGAGAACCTCTAGATGCTATTACTCTATTTTGATGCAAGAATTGAGGCGATATCAATACTTACTGTAAGCGTGAGGAGCTTCTTTTGGAGCAATACCCTCTACCAAGCTCACACCTTTCCATCAATAGTACTACTGTACATTCACCCACGTGTCCTCGCGCCAATCTCAACAAATCTGCGTTTCCAATACACCACTCCCTGCCGTTTGAGGATCTTGGTCAACCTCTAGACTTAATTTGGCAAATCTTCCCTTCTCCCTTAGTCTCTTCCCATATTTCATGAAGATATAAGGACTCACAAGCCACAAAGTAGCAACACCAGCTAATATCGAACCAGCGACATTCGATCCCAGACCATTGTACATCTGTTTTGCAAACAGAGGGAATAGACCAGAGAGTATGGCTCGGACAGTGGAGTATGCTGCGAAGGCGGAAGATGCGTAGACAGTGTATGTCTGTACTTATCAGTACAAAGGAAGGAAACGAGGAAAGGAATGGTTTTGACTTACATCGGCTAAGTAGTTCCCAAGCGCATACTCAATTTCATTTGCTGCAAATCCAGCACCTGCCAATCCAATCATGGGCACAACCCAGTCGATACCATGAACTAACGGTGGTGTAGTCCAAGCCATGAGCCAAAGACCGGCTGCCAAAGCTGGTGCTCCGGTAGCAAAGCCAATTATTTTGTCTTCTGGTTCTAGCTGTTTTGTTTCGGCACGCTTCTCGAGATGACGAAATTCTAGCAACCTGATTGGAATACCACAAGCCATTCCTATAACATATGCGACGAATGCTAATGAGTATGAAGTCTGGGTAAAACCGTATGGCTTGAACACAACATCTAGGGCTTCTGTGAAAAGAAATACCAAGGAGAATGCTATGGCGGATAGTGTTGCCATAGTGAAGACGATAGGCTCTTGGAAGAACAGTTTGGCTGGCAGGATAATGGCACTTTGACAGAAAATACGGAAATCGGGGACATGGTCGTCTGCTGTTTTTGTGCGAAGTTTGATATTTCCTGCGTATGACTGTACAGCGATGAGATGGTTTCCAAGTAGTTTACTGGGGCGGGTTTCGGAGATGCCTAGGAGGAGGAGAACAAATACACAGAAAGAAATTATAGCGCCAATGTGATACAACCACCGCCTATGTTCGCAACTTGCATTAGTTGTGGGGCGCATTTGATAAAAAGACAAGTATAAGTAAGGGATCAACTCACCAACCAAGTACGCTGGTGATGTATGCTCCATATATTGGTCTGTATGAAGTTTTAGTGGGAAATCCTCAAATTTACTTTCCTCGAACACCGCTCGTGTTCTTTGGGGAGGATCCTCGTCAGAAGCGACTTACCCCAAAGCAACCCCTAAGCCCGCCGACAGTACCCACGCGTATATTGCATGACCTTGAGTTGTGGGATCCCACATATCTTCCAGACTGCCCACAATAACAGTGGCAGGAACCGATGCCGTTGCACCCATGATAAACCGGCCGGCATATGCCCCTGCGATGGAAGGCACCAGCCCGGTAATCAAGCAGCTAATCGGTAAAAATAGGGCTGCACATATGAGTATCGGTTTTCTCCCGAAAGCTTCTGAATACGGCGGAAAGACAATGCTTCCCAAAGCTTCACCAATCCCGTACCTATAAAAACAGATGAGAATTATATTGGAATTATACATGACTGGCGCATGCTCACATGAGGGAAAAGGCAAGGAGTGACTGTGTCTGTGAAATGCCATATTCTGCAGCTGCTTGTGTAGCTGCGATCAGCTTTTGACAAGATTAGTACTTGCCGTGGAAGGGGATCTCGGAGAACGAACACCTCCTGATTCTAGAAGAGCACTTTATTGGGATCAGTACGACCCCCAATAACTTTTAAAAGTGACTATACATAGAATTACACACCTAAATGTATCAAGCAAGAAAATGCAAGCTGTGTTGGCTAATTTGCGTTTTAACGGCCAATTTCGAGGGTGATTTCGATTATCTGGAAGCCAATTGACAATGTTGTCGTCTGACAATTGAAGGCCTAAATTGTCGAGTCTCTGCAGTATATTTGAAATAGAACTCGCCTCTATAACCGGTAGTGTTACTTCAGTGACGTCTGAGGCAGTCAACGATTCTGTCCGCTTATCAAGATCGAGCATGATGAGAGGGGGTTTTCTGTAATATTTTGAGATACGCCAAGTCGTAGACGAACGTGCGAACATTATGATAGCTGACAAAGGTCTTGGAAGGCTTGATAGATATGGTAATTACAGCACTGACCGGACGAATATAGCGATTGCTGTCGGATATAACTAGCAAAACCATAGAGGTCAAGGAGAATTTAGTGCTGTCGATCATTGGATCTAGCAACGCCACTTTCCTGTAGCTTGAAGAAAACATTTGGGTTGGAGAGCTCGGGTTTCTGTTATGGAGAAAAAGAATCAGGTGTTCTGGACAAATCTTCTTACACAGTCAAAGAATGAGTCCCTTACGCGTAGATCAAGTCCGTACCGGTATGCCAGTCTTTTTGAATGGTGTTGTCACAAACTTGGGGGGGGGGGATTTTGAAGCCAGTAGCGAGCATTTCATGAAATACCAGGTCCGCAGATGAGATGAGCGGAGTCAACACTTGGGAATCGTACATTACTACCGGCACTCACACAAGCAGACTAAGATCCCCGCACTAGTTTACGGCATGTCAGTGCCGTATCTTTCCACTAAGAACGGAGCCAATGCGTTGCAAGATTCGGCCTTTACACGTTGATGAACCCTTACTGAACAGATGCTGATGGGAGATATATATACCGATAGGTAAACTTTTGCAATACAGGATGTGCAAATCAATCGCAGCACGTAAGCCTTTCAAAAAGAAACACAAATAAATAGCAGAAGCTTTGCTAAAAATGTAGATGAGTAAAATGTTGCGAGTCATATAATGCCTCATCCGAGGCATTTGAAATCTACGCTCTTTCATTGTGGCGTGTGCATTACCACAGGAAGTGGAATCGCCAATCAACAGCGGGAAACCATACAATTGATTTCTCATAGAGCATAATAGTAATTGAGCTCCTCAGTAGAGAATCATACACAATTTATACTTCTGAACTTACAAATAAATTAACCAAAACCTTCCACACAGCAGTTATTTGGTCGGGGTTACCAAATCAAATTTATTCGTAAGTGCATGGCACAAGAATTGGAGATACTAGATAAAGTCATGAAGACGACTACTACTGCTTAGGTAGTTCAAATATCGGTAACATATATGAGAGAACTTCTTTTTCCATGACTTCATGTGAAACTCGGCATTGTTCACAATACCTATGTCAACTCCTGGCGTTGCAGTTCCGAAGAAGCACGAATGACTCAATGGTAATCAACATGATATTCATATACTCGAGTAGCTTAGCTGGCTCCTAGCATTGAGATGCGAACGAAAAGAAAGGGTCCTTGAGAGTTAAAATTATATATGGTGGTGGATAGTGACATCCGAAAAGAGATGATCTTATAACCTTACTGTACTAGCTCGAAACACCTAAACACGTGATATTCGCGTGGTTCTATTAAAGCAGTATTATCATCACTCTATCAATGACACTTCTCTTCCTCTCTTCCTCTCTTCCTCTCTTCTCTCCTTTCCTTATTGTTCCGGATTTGCCGAACCGAATTTCTATCTGTCGTTTTGCCTTCAAGATCAAAAGGCTCGTTGCAGAAGGATATACAATACTGAGTACTTATTAATCCGTTTGCATGCAGGCTGTCGCAGTTGCCTGATGCTTGCTGGGGTATATAGTATTGTCTCCATTCAAGCTTTCCTTCTCATTTGATAGCGAGAGTCAGCATGTTCTTCTTTTGTGAATCAGCAACCAGGATTGTACAGAAAATAGATGCCGTATCCAGATGCCAAGAGCTGCACGTCGTCGCCATAAGTATATAATCATGGCTTTTCTTTCTTACCAACATGCAACATATCGTTGTGTCTTACAGTCGCAGTGTCCTATCACACAAAAACACACATACAATTGTACTTAATTCTATCGTTGCCCTCATTAAAAATTCAGCGACAATGTCAACATTTTCCCGATCTAGCACTGGTATCTCAGTGGTACAACACTTCTCTTCCCTTGTGACTGGGAAAACAATCCTTATAACAGGTCCCTCAGCTGGTAGTATCGGTGCCGAGACAGCGATATCACTTGCGCACGCTTCTCCTTTTGCCATAATTCTCGCCGGGCGTTCAGAATCTAAGATTCTTCCCGTTGTCGAAGCAATTCATTCTCTCAATCCATCTATTACGACACATTTTGTACGTGTCGATCTCGCGTCCCAAAGGTCAATTAAAGAGGCTGCGGCATTGATCAATGGCCTGGTTGATAAAGTCGATATCCTGATCAACAACGCGGGAGTGATGGCCGTGCCGACTTTTGAGACAACGGAGGATGGAATCGAATTACAGTTTGGTGGCAATCATATAGGTCATTTCCTGCTTACCAATCTCATAATGGATAAGATTCTAAAAGCGGGTAGAGAAGGAGGAGCGAGAATTGTAAACGTTAGCAGTACTGGATATGAGCTTGGCGGTGTTCGATTTGATGATTGGAACTTCAAGGTACAATGACCACTGCCCCATACCACAAACTTGCCAACATTGACCTCAAGAATAGGATGGTAAAGATTACCGCCCCTGGCAAGCCTATGCTCAATCCAAAACCGCCAATGTTTTGTTCTCTGGTGCTTTAGCTGCGAGATTAAATGAAAGAGGCGTGCAATCTTTTGCACTGCAGCCGGGATGTGCGTTGATTCCAGCTATTAGTACTGGTCAATGCTAACTAAAAGTGTAGACGTACCAACAACAAATCTTCAATCTCATGTGACTCCAGATATGTGGAGTGATGTAATGCAGCAAGTTTCGGACACTTCAGGAGGTATGTATCCCAAGCATCCTCGATCCGCATGCGTGCTAATAACAATTCAGGTCAAGAGTTTGAACCCGCCAAAACTCTTCAAGAAGGATGTTCTACCACCTTAGTCGCGGCTTTGGATCCATCCATCTCAGGTATACTCATCAAATATCCTCTCGCCTAAATCACTGTGGAACTGACACTCTCACTAGAATCATCTGGTGGGTTTCTTCAGGACTGTGCTGTTAGACCTGTACCTCAACACTACGCAGTAGGAGTAGAAAATCAAGCCAGATTATGGGAGTTGAGTGAGAGGCTAGTGGGTCAGCAATTTGGCCTCTTGAGTTAAGCCGCACGACGATGCTTGCTTGAGAGCTGTCATGAATACGTAACGAGTGTACGTAACGAGTTTTGCTGCTTCATCTTGGCTGCATGTGGCATTTAGTTACCTCGTGCACCCCAGGCGACTCACGATGTTTTGTTTCTGTGGAGCAGTCAATTTAGCCTTCACATGCAGTTCCCTTAGCTTTCTTTTTTGTTTTTTTGGAGATTCGGAAGAAAGGAGGAAAATCTTTGCTAGGTCATATGTTCCAGAGCGGATGAAGAGGAGCGAAGCGAAAAGTCTTGTGGAATATGAGGGGAATGGTAGTAGGAGTGAAGTTTGCAAACGAAAAAGGAGATGTAGGCGAAGCGAAGCGAGCTGTTCGAATGAATATAGGATTCGCACAAAATCTTCCAATGTTGAGGAGTGCACAACTGGCGGAGCATAGACGAGAATGAGAAATCAATGCTGTGTCCTAAGCTAAGCAACCATGTTATTCATCACAGCCAAAGACGATGATAGCATTTTCTGCTACTTACACGCACAATCCACTCAGTTCTCCAATATTTCATACGCGGTATTCCTAGAAGCTATCTTAACTAAAGCCATGGGTTACATCTCAAAGCATGCGTACATCATCGCCTCCATTAATATGAGATCCCAAGATACCTCATGTTCTTTCACATCATACAATAGGCATTAACGACATCGCGGCATAGGGGGGGCCAATAAGATAGAGCATAAACAACTCCATGTATTAAGTTCTAACCTCGAGACTGCAGCTAAGCGCTCAAGATCAATGCCTAAGCTGGAATGCTATTTCAATCTGCCCCCTAAAATAACCTTCCTCCACTCTCCATCCCACGTCTCTCGAATTGTCCTCCCCAAACGATATCTCCAGCCATCTCTCGTCTCCTCTCGTCTCCTCTCATGACGGCGTCTCCAAGGGTATATTAAAGATAATTATGTGCAAAGGTATAAAGTGAAAAAAAACCAAATTCAGATTGATTTGAGTGAAGGGTTTTCTTCGATCCGTCAATATCCGTACGATTCGAGGATGTGAATGTTGAATAAATTGTCGTGATAGTCGTACTTAAAAAGTTCCCAGTGAGTTAATGGGTTGTGTTGAATAAAAAAAGGATAGTATGTGCAGAAGTAATGCGTGTGTAGAAGTGGAGACACCGAGCGCACGAGGATTAGCACAGGCTCAAGGTCATCGTCCAGTATCCCACCAAAAATGTCAAAAACGCCATGCTCCCGTACTCGCTGGCGCGAGGGGGCATATCCCAATTCCCATTTCGGCATCTCTTCAGATCATTATTTCACGTGCTGAAAATAAATAATTCGATCAATGCTCGCCGACAAAAGGTTCACGCTCATTCCTACCGCGTGCAACCATCCCAAAACTCCATGCTGAAATTTATACAGAACCAAGTCGTAATAGTGCTTCAATGGCCTCTCGTTCTTGAGAATCTGCAGAAGCCATATTTAAAGCTGTGAAGCCATTTGGGGTGTGATTTCGTACCGGTGCTGGAACGGAATGTCCAACTTTAGGTCGAGGACCTCCCCTATATACATGAGAGTTGAAAACTTGTGGGAGAGGTCCAGATGTAAGGGGACCAGATGCTGAATAGGATGCTGCTCGCAATGCAGCGGCCCCAACAGCTGCCCAATCCTCCTCATCCGTGACATCATTTGGATCGTCCACCATCATTGCATCTTCTCCAGGCTCGGATGAGGAAGAACTCGACTCATCGCCATCCAAAGACATTTTGTCGGCCTCATCAGGCATCGAGATATCATCTCCATGAGAAAAAATCGCCGAATCCCCAGCCCAACTTGTCCCTGGTTCATTGAGACGTGTCCGAGTAAATGACCATCCTTGGTTGTTGGCAATTGGCATTCCAATTGGATAGGAATCTGGTAAACTTGGTGGTGGTGAATTTCCAAAAGCTCGACCCATTCTAGCCGGATGCCCCTTAAGTCTCGCGTCCCATCTGCCCCAACCCACTTTCTCGAACAACACATTTCCTTTTACACCGCCCGCCTCACCGCCATTTCCACGTCCTTCAAGTGCACCCACTACAAGCCTTCTAGCTTTCGCGGGTGGAATTCCAGAAAAGCCGGGAACTGAAGTAGTGAGGTAGCCCATGATGTGGCGGATAGCAAGTGGGCCGTGATCCAACAAAATTTCGGGAAGATGGTGCTTAGCCAATAGACTAGGGGTAATAGCACCAGTGGTATCCAACCCCGGCGATCCCATATCCGAAGTTCCTTCATTTCCACTTGCATCTTGCAAGTCCAAGTCGGAATCGACATGCTCCAGATTGAGTCGAGGCAGCGGCGACCGAGTACCAAATGATTTGATGGCATGCGGAGGTAGGTTGGGAGAGATAGAGTTCGGAGGAGTAGGAAGAGGATGGCTCTTGTTGACGGGAACACTTCGAGCCGCTACAGCAGTTAAGCTGTCTCGGCCGAATGGTGTTGGGATTCTGCGAGCAGAGGAAACAGTGGAAGCCATTTTGTTGATGGATTAGTTGTTTGTTTTCTCTGTAGATGGGCAACACAGTGTCAGTATTTGAGTTTCCAAAGAATGCGTGGTAATGAATTCAGAGACTCGGAATCCTACATCTTATTGGAAGGCTGACTCACTTCGAATTGCGATAGAAACGTTACGAGCGAATTGAATAATTTGGCAATGTAGTAAAAAGCAACCGTTGAACGTATCTTGAGAAAGCGAACTTGGATGAACTGGTGGTATCTTATCGTAGAAGATGAAGTTGTTGAGAAGATGGTAATGGTGGGCGTCAAAAGGTTGACTCCTAAGCTATTCGATCGGGTCCGGGAAGGAAGGAAGCAAGGAAGCAAGGGAAGTTATATGGAAGAGCGAACAATACTCTGCTTGCGATTAGAAAATAATAGGAGAATAAGAAAGTTTGTAGTTATAGCAAAGTAGTAGAGGAGGCAGCGATATATTTGAGTGAAAGTGAAAGATTTAAGTTGGGTTGAAGTAGAGTTGAGCGAATCTTGTTGCGAAAGTTGGAATTTATTGTGTTGGGGATGGGTAGTATTGTTGTTGCTATTAACTACTTATTCTTTGTTCCCTTGGATTGATTATGCGATTGTGTGATTGTGCGCAACCCTTTTCCTTCTAGTGGGTGTTGTTGATAGAGGGATGATCAACGGCTTGTCTTACTAGTAGGTAGTAGTACAGGGTTCTTCCTATGCATAATAGACTGACTTATAAATAATCCCTAGGTCGGAAAATCATCTATAACTCGTACTTATTTGTATTTATCTGAATTATATATAAATATAATAAATTGTTTATTACCGTTTTTTTCTTCAATATCTACTGGTACCTACTACTAACCTCACTCCTTTGTCTCTGACTTGTACCGGTCCGTATATTATTACTAAGCTTGAAACTTGGAATTATCATCTAAGTACATACTGTTATAGAAACTCTCACGTTGCTTTTCAAATCTTTCTTATTGGCTTCTTGGCCAACATCAAACCCTGATCAGCAAATATTCTCCACTTATCTATCAAAGTGATCCCTATTTTCGTGTTATAAGGACCACTACCATCCCCCACGTTCTACGGAGTACAAATCTAGCCTTAATGATGATCCCGTGAACTTTACCCATATGATGAGCCAGATGAGAATTACGCTGCGCAAAACCTGAATCGTAGTTCTAGATTCGGAATGGCTTCGATTATTATTAACCACTCGATTGCTATCGTGCTTTTCAAAAGCCATAGGTTGATATGAAAGCTACTAGGTACATGATTCGATGAAAGTACGGATTCTTTTACTCGCAGAAGTTGATTGGCATTGATTCGATTTATTTCCCCATTATCCTTAAACAAATCAAATTTGCATTCTGCGCATTTCTTCTCTCCACGATATTTTGTGCTCAATCCGTCGTGATAAACCGAAGAAGTATCGCAGACGCTTGATACCTTGAAGTGAAGGTGGAATGGCAAATGCTACATTGTGCAATCATCATTTGCAAGCCATCGATCAGCCAAACTCCAATGGGTATTGCTAATGCCCAGCTCCACCATTGAGTACATATTTTCTGCATGCCTAAATATCAAAATAATACATTAGAGATCGTGACGATTGTAGGACCATGGCAACGAAGTCAATGATGTCACTTACTGCTTTCAAGACATCTAACCTCTCTTTGGAGTCAAGGAACACTCGGCGATATTGTGCTAGACTATCTCCCACAACAGCGGCACGTGTCTGCTGCCCCTCACATATGGCTTTCATTCTAAGCTCCATCTGTTTTCGCAAAAACGGTTTGCTGAGACTGACTTCGAACTCCATATTATCATAGCCTTCCACTAGGGCAACTCCGAGTGTGGTCGGAATAAACTCTTCAACACCACCTCTACCTCCCGCATCCGCAGCAGCACCTCCCCTACCACCCCTCCCACCGCGTCCGCCACGTCCTCCTCGACCTCCTCGCCCTGCAGCGGGCGTGTTGTCATCATTGTTGCCAGCGGCGGCTCCACCTACCTTGGGCCTGGTAAATACGTATTCACGCTCTTTGATTTTAGCAATATGTTCGGCCATAGTTGCATCGGTGCCAATTCCGTTTGCATCCATCAAAGCAATGAGATCAGGCTCCGTTAGATACCCTGGGGCCGTTGTCTTCCCGTCTGTAATCATAGCCTCGTCTGGTTCGAATCTCTCTCCGAGTGTGAATTTTGGCAATGGCGTACTACTATTCCATCTCTCGTAAACATAGACATCCAAGTAATTCTTCTCTAGTACTACTAATCCATGCGTGTGAAATAATTCGTCTCCGTAGTCAAGCTCCACGTCGGTCGCTTGCCCTTTCGCATCTTCTGAACAACAGGCTAGGAATCTTCGAACAACGAATTCATAAATTCGAGCTTCTTCCGGTGTCAAAGCAGTCGATGCAACGTGTGTTACGGGGTGTATAGGTGGATGTGCTTTATCATCGTGTTGGCCCTCCCTAGGCCAGTGAAAGCCTCCATTCACGAGATTTTGAGCAAATGGTCCCCAACGATTGTCTTGGACTTGCTTCTCCACCAAACCTCTCAAATTCATCCCTTTATCAAAGCGATCAGTCTCCGTTCTGGGATAGCTGATAAATCCTTTGTTGTAAAGGCTCTCAGCCGCAGTCATAGCCATCTGACTGTTCATGTGTAACCAGCGACTAGCCGCTTTTTGCAACTCAACGGTGGTTAGAGGAAGCGGCTTCCACTTTTTTGTTGGCTTCTCCTGCACCTTGATGACTTTGGCAATCTTTGCAACAAGGCAGCGCTCAAACAATATGATGACAACTGCTCGGTCAAACAGACGATTGCGCTTCCAATTGAAGATTACATTCATACCTTCCCGACCATGCGTTATTTTGATGCTCCAGAACGGTTCAGGCACGAAGTTCTTCACCTTAAAATACCGATCAACGACGAAACCAAGCGTGGGAAACTGACAAGAGCCTTAAAGGCCATCAGTATGTAAATAAATGTCTTGTAATGGGGGGAGTCAAATTGATCACCATAGCTCATCATAGCATTCTCCAATGGTCCTCCTAACTTTTGAAGATTGGTCGTCTGAAACCGCGTGAACGCATAACCAATTCTTAGATCGAGTTCTATACGAGCAGCCACCGCATCTACTTGACGTTGATCTAGGTTGACTGGATGCTTGGCTGCTTGAATCACATGCCTGGTTACGATCAGCGACAATTCTGAGTTCGCACCTTGCAAGTTTACATACGCCCGCTCAATATTACTGAACCTTGCTCTTTTGACTTCAATTCGTGGATTACCTTTTAGTGCTTGGGCTCTCACTTCGCCGCCAATGTGCTCTCCTTCACGGTCACAATCGGTCCATATGAAAAGAGCCTTGGCACCTCTTGCTTGAGACTCGATATTTTGTGCAATAGTTTTCTTATCCTACACAAATGTATCAGTCGGAAAGACTGAATCAAAGGGGAATGTCAAGGTACATCAACAACAGATTCGATGACCTGTGCTTTAAAAAAGAGTTCTTCGGGTGGAGGATGATCCCATTTCTTGTGGGAGGGGGCAATATCAAGAGAGGTAAGATGCCCCAATACAGAGGTCATCACCGTATTACAGTTACCCCATTGCCCACCAAAATCGAAGGTGAACGAGTAGTTCTTGATATATTTGTTGCGAGTATTTGACTTATTTGATTATCAGCCAATGTAGAAAAGTTTGACTGGGTGACTTACTCACAGCTTGAGCATTACCTCCTGCTAAATGATTAGCTACAGCTTTTGCAATAGAAGGTTTCTCTGCAACACAAAGAATCTTCGCAACCATCTTGATAGCAGATTCACGTTGTGATGGATGTTTGTCTCTGTTTCTGTTTCTGTTTCTGTTTCTGTGATATGATAAACCTTGGGAATAATATTAGGTACAGTTAACTACTAACCTTATAATTCCCTCGGTGGTGCAAACAAATGAATGTCTTGATATGTAAACATTGTTTCTTACTGGACTGTTTATGGGAAAAGGGTCCTTTAAGTTAATTATTACCTACGGGTATGTAAAGAAACGATAGATTGTTCTTTTAGTCAATGGGATTTTATAGTTTATAAATATTCAAGTATATAGTATTTATCCTGTGCACGCTAACGCTGTGAAAAACGATGTCATTTATTTTACTCGGTAAAGATATACAACCACTTTCTTTCACCTCATTCATCACCTCATTCATCTATCTGTCTTTGGTCAATTTAGTTCACTTCATTCCAAGCTCACTTCATTGAACGTGAGGATAGGTAGGTATACATCAGAGCAGCTTCCAATCGCCCACTACTATCGCCCTACTTTTTAAATTCGAGCAAAAGAGACGATAGTACCTCGCGAAACATGGCTTTGCCAGTAATTAAAGCAATCGAGGATTGCTCAAACATCACGAAGACAGTCTTGCCATACTTGCCACAGTTGTACGACCTACCTCAACAAATACTTCAATCCTACTCGAATCCTACTGAGCTTCGAAATCTCTACTTAGCCACAAATCCACTCATCTCTGCCTTTGCATTCTCACTATTCTTAACACCAGTTTTTTTGTTGGTTTCGGAAGTCAATAAGAACTATTCACAAGTCGACAGATGCTGGAGTATCTTACCTACATTATATAATGCCCATTTTGCCATCTATGCGCATCTATCTGGTTTGCCGACCGGACGGTTAGATAATGTACTTGCTTTCAGCACGATATGGAGTGTATGTAATATGCCTCTCTATTTACTAGCTTGATTTTGACAAACAACAGTTGCGTTTGACCTTCAATTACTGGAGGAAAGGTGGATATAGCATTGGATCTGAAGACTATCGCTGGTATGTTGTCCCTTGGGCATAGGATTATACCCAGGCTAACTGCTATTCAGGGAGGTCCTGCGAGAAAAGATCCCCCCCGCACTCTTCTTCGTCTTCAACGTCGCCTTCATATCACTCGCACAAAGCATTCTTCTCTTCTTAATTTCAACACCATCATACGTTATGCTATTAGCTGCACGATATGGAGCGCCCTGGACGACGGCAGATTTGATATTCTCTAGAGGTCTTATAACTCTTGTGGCGCTTGAGTATCTTGCAGATGGGCAACAGTGGAGTATGTGATCATAGGTACTTTTTGTTACACATTGCTAATATATTTACAAAATCAGACTACCAAACCGCCAAGCAACAATACTTGAAGACCGCTAAAGTACAAGGGGGACTTGACCAAGAATCACTCGACCGTGGTTTCGTTACCTCTGGTCTCTGGTCCTTGAGCAGACATCCAAATTTTGCTGCAGAACAAACCATATGGGTAGTACTATACACGTGGGGATGCTGGACTAGTAATGTAGCATTCAACTGGACATTTGCCGGTGCTATGTCATACTTAATACTCTTCCAGGCCTCAACCTGGTTCACCGAGCTCATAACGGCCAAGAAGTACCCAGATTATCAGGAGTATCAAGCCCAAGTTGGCAAATTCTTGCCAAATGTTTTTTCTATCAAGCCAGCATTTGCCAAAGCGGAGAAGAAAGTCGCCACGACGATTAAGGGGAATACAAGGAAGGTTTCTACAAGTAAATAAAAGGCAATACATAATGAGGCTACAATTTATAATTACAGCCTCAAACAAGTCGTTAGGAAAAGAAAATATGAAGAGAAGGGTCAGAGTGGCTTCCTGCAACCTGTACGAAAGAGAACTAAGTTTTATTTGTTTTGCAAATATTCCTAGATAATATTTACGACTAATGACACCTTACATCGATGAAGAAACATTCAGCGGAAGTCATTCTTGCCGCACAGAAGATCAAAGATTCTCAAGCTATGGAGCAGACCTGGCCTCTATAAACACGCCGCATCATGTAACGTTCCTGCCCTTGGAAGTATCAAGTGTCTTCTTTTGAGTTCTCATCGAATGCTCTAATTCTTGCAATTATCATCTTTCTTTTTTCTTTCACTTGACAATAAATACTTCGTTACATCTACATCTATCTCTATCAATACTGATCGGGAAACCAGCGATCTCACATCTTTAAACCCCATCGTTAGTTGTCTATACTGTTCACAGCAGATAGCATATCTTCATCAAGATAACTTTTGAGGAAAATAAAACTCCATTGACCATCGTTGTCACCTTTGAAAAGGTCGTACTGTTGCGCCTCAAGCTTACATCATCTCTCTCCTCTATCGGTCATATCTTAGATACAAGCTCGACCAAAGTCTGTTCGCACCGTATCATCATGGCAGAGAAGCACGAATTTGATGTGAGAATACTCACACGCGGTTCGCGGAGTCCCGATCTGGAACGACCCAGCCAAGCGTTGGGCATCGATGACTCTCCGCTTCTATCTCCGTCTCCACCTCCGTATTCAATTCAAGATGAATATTTTCCCGTTCTTTCAGGAGATAACTCGAGCATCAGCAACTCGGCATACGGGGTCCGGAACGTACCCGTAAAGTCTTATCACATTTCCCCTCCAGACCAGCCCTTTATATATGAATCATCATCTAGCACACCGGCCATCGCTTCCCTTCTCATACGTATTCTCAACCCAAGCCCACAAGTATCCAGACGAGGAGAAACTGTTGATGTCGCCAATCTCATACTTAGGCCCAAGGAGCCACTTCTCGAAGACCGAATCATATCTCGACGAAATCGAGGCGATTTCAAATCTGAATTCTGGGAGGCTCCAAAAGAGATCATCAAGCTTGCAGAAGCTCAACCAGCCAAAACGAGAAGAAACAGTTCCCGTACGTTCCCGGCTGATATTTCTACTCAGCCGCATCTCGACGAAATCTATGATGAGCCATATGTATATCATGCAAGCTCTGTTGGCTCGCCCGCAGTACGGTGCCAATTTTCGAAATCGACACGGGATTTGAGTCGGGAACTAGAACATGCTGAGATACAATTAAAGGCCCTGCAGTCTGAAATTGGGGGAGTCGAGCGCCAGTACAGCCTATTGTCTCCACTTCTACTAAGAACCGACAAAGGGGATTCCAACACTGAGGTCTGGGTTCGGGGGAAGAGGGAAGAAGCTACATATCAGATATTAAAAAAACTGGAAGGCCAACAGCTAATTATGTTCAGAGAGCTGGAAATAGTAGAGCGTCGACAAAAGTCTATCTATGAAGAATTGAAGAAGCGCAGAGAGGCGAGGGAGCCTCTGGAGGAGCCTCTAAAGATCATGGCGAGACAAATGAATGAGAGGAATGTAGGAAGAAGATGGCTACGGGGAGAGATACCATGGGTAGATGCTCTGGACATGGGGAGGGGTGAGCCGCATACGACGAATTCTACGGATATGATGCGAGATGAGCCGTACTAGGATTGATTTGCCCTGTCCACGGGTGAGCTTGATGGATGGAAACAGCGATGTAGCGTTTTGTGTTGAATGGAATGTTCTTGGTCATTGATAGTTCCGGATTCGTCTTGTAATCCCGATTGTCGATGTGATATGCTTGCTGTGACTATAGATATTCGGCATGTCAATAATGTAATACTGTGCTTCCATGTACATGTACTTGTGCACCAAGATTCCTAAGCATATCATGGCATGCATTACCACCGATTACTTTTCGAAACGAGAGTGTATTTAATGTCAGTTGTCCCAGAGTTTGTCGTTTTTAGAATTCAAATGAATGGTAATTACAAAGCTTAACAATGGCCTCGGAACATAGAGTAACGAATATGAGATGCACTATTCCTTACATCACATCCCAAATAGCATACAAGCGAAGTCTTCCTAAATATGATTAAACTCTTCGCTGAAGTTTCGAGATGATATATCGGTAATGTATCACTTCCTGTCTCCAGCAATGGAATGTTGACCTATAATTGACAAATCTCATGGTTCTGTCCATGCACGGGAGATGAGTCTGTCACCCTCAACCCGAGGAATTCGATATACTTTCGATTGCTAGTTCAACAGTGGATTGAACGGAAATGAAACTTTTCAATAGCTTGTTTATTGGGTAATGGTTGCAATGTTGTAGACTACATCCCGTACTGTCGCTTCGCTGCATATTGGTTCATGACATGGGAGGATGGAACTATCAAAATCAAGCAATAATACAATTAGAAGTCTAGGGAAAAAAGGCTATCTGTTTTGATTTACGATGCAGAAGCTGGCGAAGGAAGCAGAAATAAGACGTGAATGCTAGACAAAACTCAAGAGACAGATATATAATCAAATAGTTGCTTTCAAGATATAATAAACCCTTCCATTTTAACCACCCACACACTCACAAGGAAACATCGTGATGTTATCCTCCATTCTTCCAACGTCCAAAGCTTCTGAATACAAATCAATTCACACCACATATTATTCGTCAATCCATACATCATCCATCAGTGCCCAGCACATTGTCTCGAATCTCCTTGCATCGCCCAATAGAGACCCAATCATAAGTTCTATCTCCGCATATTCCTCCCGCAAAAGTTTCTCTGTCCTTTTGGTTCACGAAACTTCTCTCTAGTTCCCCATCACACTCTCAGAATCCCTCTACTTCTTCGCATCCTTCTTGACCTTCGGCTTCGCATACGCTTTATTCGTTTCGTAATGAATCCACCAAGCAATCCCAACCAACGTGAACAATCCAACCAATACCAGTATTAATTCGACAAAGAGGAAAGGGGTTGCTTGTAGGACAGCCGTGGCTTTAGGTGTCAAATTCAACCATTTGAAGGAATTGGGGCCGGAGAATGCTTGTCCCATTTTTCGTTTGTCGTGCTGTAGATATTTTGAGAGGGAACTGAGGTACCGATGAGGGCTCGAAAATGAAGACAAGACTTTGAATCAATACGCGTGAACGATGTCAGCTTCGAAATGGTGGCTTGACTCGACCGGCGACTTATCGTATATTTAAGTAAAGACGATTGATTTATTACTCAATTTGAGGGTGAAGATTTCATTTCAGTCAACAGACGGTAAGTAAGTAGCAAGTAGCACAAATGTACGGAAAGAGTAAAATTGAAGAAGATTAAAACCTACGATGGGAAGGATACACACTCCCCTAAACCCCCCTATATAATAAATATGAGACAGCTCACTGGCGTTTCAAATCTTTGGCATGTTTGTTACTATGAACCCATGCATGAGGTTACAGATTTGTAGGAGAGTTAATGTGGGAAACAGGGCTTTGACAATTTAACTGGGTGTGAGGATTCAGTCTTTGATAATGAGCCACCGTCAAATTTCATATTTTTACATACACTCAACAATCAAGATCAAAAATCAAATGGGATTAATAATCTTTGGAAATAAAGCATCCTCTTATGAGTTGTCAACTCATCTTATTTTTGGGCAAAATCTACTTTATTCCTGTAGTTCTTGTGATGATCAATACATCATCGCGGAATATACCCTATCATACATATATCGTGTGAGAAGTTGATTATCGTGAATTTAGCCCCGGTCGTTACCTGGCTCTGATCGTGAATCTGGTTGCGATTCGGCGTATATTTCAGGACTCAGAGAGACACTTTCAACTTTCTGTAATATGCCCTTTCCAGCCCTACTCAATGCTTTCACAATGCTTTCCATTGATCGACTTTCGTGCCTTACCGCTATTAATGCGGCTTCCACCTCTTGACAGCGCTTTCGTAAGCGCTCGATCTCTGCTCTGAGAAGATCGGCCTGGTCGTCTTTTGCACCAAGATGCTCGTCGCTAGTCGATTCTGTTGCTGTGATACCAGTCAATCCTTCATACTTCTTGTGCTCATTAGGCGATGGTAGGCTTCGTCCAAATCCTTCCGGTATGAGTGAGGTTGTGCTAGAGTCTTGAGTATGAGTTTTCGTTTCAGCACTTGATTCTTGGATCCTTTGCTCCATCTCAAGTTTCAATTTATTCCAATTCTTTCTCTCCTTCCCGGTCTTTTCTTCTAATTGACTAGCCATCTTCACAATCTCGACGTATTGTGCCCTTTCTTGTACCGCTGCTTGTCGATAGGAGTCCCTACTTTTCGCAAGGTCCTCGACCTCGCCCTCCAATTCCAGAACTTGAGCATGCAATCGCGCTTTCTCTTCGGTGAGGCTGAAGACTTCAATGTCAGAAACCTGATGCTTTTTCTCAAGAGCGCTGGCTCGACTTTGAGAGCGCGAGAAAGCAGCAAGGAGTTTATCGTGCTCGCCCTGCAACGATGATAATGCGATCTTTTGTATGGAGACTTCATGTTGAAGCGCTGCTGTATGGACCTGCAATGCGCTATCTGATGACTGCGCGCCTGTTATGGAAGGTAAAACATTGCTAGGCGCGTGGAAGTTCGACGATACAGGCGGACCGCCAGACGGACCCCCGTATGATGCCGACCCTGAAGGAGACGATAAATTAACCGACGTCGGAGAAGGAAAAGCTCGTCCTGGTGGAGACGGTAATTGTCGATTTGGGGCAGGCGGAGGATTCATACTCAAGAGCCTCTGGCTCATATTATCAATATACAAGGGAGTATGATGATAGGGAGATTGCGCTCGCATAGGTGGAAGTTCTTCGCTAGCTGAAATAGCCAAAGATCTGCGTCTTTGATGCATGCTAGAATCAGAAACATCAAGATCATTCAACGTAGGCCTCCGGTGATGATCATCGATACGTCGTTTCATGATGTCTAAAGGACCATCTCGGATCACACCGTTGATCGGACTGAGAACATCCTTCTTGAAGGGTGTTTTTGAAGCGCCAGGAGGAACCTGTTGGACAAACTTGTCGGCGAGTTCATTAACATTCTTGATCTTGGTAAGTATCCAATGGAGGGTTTGTTTCAGCCCAAAGTCAATAATGGGAGGTGCGTCCCCGGAAGGGAGAAGAAGCAGCTGTGAGTGGGCCTAGTATATTGTAAGCACGGTTCGAAGGATCATCTACAAATGTGAACAGACTTGACCCTCTGTATAATAAGAACTAAGCAATTGATTGATACTTACTGAATTGAAACCACGCTTCTCGGAATCTATACCCGAACGGAGCGTCTCCGCTAGCTGAGTAAGCCCAATGCTGCAAGCCTGCGTAACAAGGGCAAGTTCAGGGTTCTTTTGGCAATGCTCGCAGCACTCTGGTAGAGATTCTTCTACGTAATCAAACGTAGTCTGCTGCTTGCATTGACGACAAATATTAGACACATCTTGAGGGGAGTCCACCCGACTGTTTACAGTCACCCGGGGGGGTCGTCCAAGTGTGGAAGCATTTTGAATCGACCGATTATGATCATATCTTGTTGGACCTAAAGAGTAAGAGTTGAGTTAGTGATCAAACGTGGGTTTCTTTCTAGACTCTCTTTGAAACCTACCATGTGCCTGAGATGTGGGTATTTCCTCAGGTGTGTCTAAAACCACCCTCGGCTCCCCTTTGTAATGATTCCTCTCATATCGCACCCTTTTCATGACCGAATCTCCACCATTTCGAGTATATGGATTGTTTTGTATCGCCCGATTTTCTGAAATACCGGATACTGGATGCCGGGCAAATGATCCCGCTTCAATTGGTGGTAACGTTCCGCCATGCCAACCATTATTACTTTCGTTTTGTTGTGCCGGTAATTCCGTATCGTCTTCCCAAGGACGTTTGATGCCTGGTCGATACAATGGGAGGGGCTCCTGTGATCGAGCATCCATCACCGCACTGTCAATGCCAATGCCAATGCCACTGTTTTACTGGGACTGTGAACAACACCCCATCCATCCGTCCTTCTAATCTCAGACAACGGTTTCCTTGGAATCGAATTCGAACGGGCTAACGGGCTAACGGGCCAAATGATATTAAAGATATATTCTATGAATGAAGTCTATATCGCGGAAATCATTAGTATATCCAGAGACATTTTGGAGATATTCGAGCCAGACATGATAAGAGGTCTCTGCTTACATGTTTTCATCTATATGAGAGGTAAGGAACGTGATAAACTCAGGCTGCATATGCAGCAAATAGCCTGGTGATTTAGGTACTGCCTGCACACCATCTGAGATATGTAATATACAATGGGGGGGGGGCAAGGGGGGGGGAGAAAAGGAAGTAGACAAATGACAAATTTCTTTTAAGAGATACAGCGCCGGCCATAGTTTGGGATAATTGGATGAAGGACGCTGTGCACTGTGCAGCTTGCATTCCAAGCTCTATTACACAGGTAGCTTTCTTTCGTTGAATATGATAATAATAATAACAACAATAATAATATCATGTATTCATGAGGGAGAGTGGATTTGGCAGGGATTCAGTGAGGCAACGTTAAGCCTTACAAACCGTGCTGACGCCCTGAGTATCTTTGCTCAATATCACAGTACACTATGAGGTACAGTAATATAAACCAAAAGAGGCAAAATAATTTCTGATTTCATATTCCTTGTATCGATTTTCCGAAGGGACGGGAATCGGGCTGCAACGAAAAGATTGAAGTTGCTAATGCACCAATGGAGATGTTGGAAATCAAGTTGATCCTTCGAACCGTTTTATATTTTGTGGCTGACTAGCCTTTTCCTTGCGGGAGTACAGTAGTAGAGTGGTAATGAGTGAGTAATTTGACCAGGGGCAATTTGATTCACACATGGCAGTGGTACAACATCTGGGACGATACAGTACCGGTAAGTTCCCTTGTCTAGAGTCTTTGATCTGGTAGATAGCGGGTAGGTTAGACATTTTGGACGGTCGAACAGTTAGGATAGTTTAGATAGATAGTCAAACGGTCAAACTGAACGAGACTGTTTTTCATTGGTAATGGTGGTGTGGTCACTGTGGTGTGATGGTTGGTTGGTGGTGATGATCATTTTGACAGGAAAACGCTGCTTACTGATGCAAGACCTTGCTTACTCAGACTTAAACATCTCGGGTTCTAGGTTCCTAAATAAGTATTTGTCGCTAGTGAGTAAGGGGTATATGTTTGTATGTATAATAAAACTCGAGTAGATGGATCAGTAGATCATCTGCTGATAGTTATATAGCCATAAGCTCGAGATTTAAAATGTATTCCGTGCGATTAGTATAATATTAAGCAGTTCGTATACCGATACTATATCTCTATAGTAATAAATAAAGAATATATATTTATATATATAATAAAATACTCAAATAATAAAATAATCACATCTAAATCGTATATTAATTGAATACATAGATTACTAGATCATTTATTAATAATTATAAGCTTGAAATTTAAAATATATTTCATTTAATCAGTATGACATTACTAATCAGTTCGTATACCGGGTACTGTATATGTACTCTTCTTACTCAACACTCAAAGATGTTGAAGGACTCCACATTGGGGACCCCAAAAAATACAAGAAGAAAATGAGCCCTTTGCCCCGGATTTATATTCACCCTCGTTCACGCGACCAATAAATCATTTCCAAGATGACTCGGAGCTTGTGTATCTATGTGTCTATGACAAAATGCCCGATATTCTTCGGGTAATCAATCATATGGTCAAGTGTTGCCATGGCCCTTGTGTGTATACCGGTAGCGTTGAAAAGTAATTCGGTTTAAATCATCTCCGATAATTACATGCTCTCCATAAGAAACCGCATTACAGAGTCTAAAGTTGCTTGGCCGATATCAAAATGCAGTCGATGAATAAAGTGAAGCTTCTGAGATGTTCAGTATAGATGTCGATTTTGGTTTTCATTCATTCTTGATGAGTTTTAACTCATTGGCCTTCGCCGATTTGGGTAGGATAAATGTAGATGCGATTGCAGTCGCAAATCTAATGATAGGGTATAGGATTTACCTGTATATCAAAAAATATGGCAGTAGTGCAGCATCCTCCATCCAATCAAAAGTGTCATGCAATACTTCCTATCAATCAGGAGAGCTTTTCTTATTTTGCAGCAATCAATATAGCCTTCTATGATTCATACCATTTGTTTTGAACTTAATTCTAAGAAATCCATTAGAATCTCTTTCATAATTACAATTGTCTTATTACTTTATTTATCTACTTTGCGTAAAGCGCCCAACTCTAAATCAATCATATCTTTGTCTTCGCTTGGGCCGTGGAGAAATGGATCGACTGACTCTACGTTTGTTCCGTGGTGGAGATGGGGACCTCGAATAGCTGTCGTCCCGCCGAGATGCTTTGGACGGTGGTGATCTGGAAAAGCTGTCTCTCCTGTCAGGTCTTCGAGGTGCGGGAGATCTTGAATGTCTCCTGGCTAGACCACGAGTTCGAGATGGCGAGCGAGATCTTGAATCTCTCCTGTCTAGACCACGATTTCGAGATGGCGAGCGAGATCTTGAATCTCTCCTGTCTAGACCACGATTTCGAGATGGCGAGCGAGATCTTGAATCTCTCCTGTCTAGACCACGATTTCGAGATGGCGAGCGAGATCTTGAATCTCTCCTGTCTAGACCACGATTTCGAGATGGCGAGCGAGATCTTGAATCTCTCCTGTCTAGACCACGATTTCGAGATGGCGAGCGAGATCTTGAATCTCTCCTGTCTAGACCACGAGTTCGAGATGGCGAGCGAGATCGTGAATATGACGAGCCCGTATAAGATGAATAACTCGAAACGGAGCTTTCGGAGTCCGATGTGGCATTGTCGGCAGCTGCGGGCAATGTTGGTAGTGCTGGTTTTGGCATATTCTGAAGATAATCGCGCATCTCTTCCGTAATAGCACCCATGCCGATACTTGTAAAGTAGTTGATGGAGAATCTTGTGTTGCGAGGGTTATCATGGGGGAAAAGTCCTTCGAAATAAGGTCGCAGAACATCATCCTTCAGGCGAGCTTGCAGTTTTGCCATTCCCATTGCTTCCGACAAATCCTGAAAAAGAATCTTGATAAATATACGACTGCTCGATGTTGTCTCTTCTTCATTAAGATGCACAACAGACAAAACGTGCCAGCCGAGAGCGTCAGAGCTAAGAAGATGGCCGAAAAACCTCGCAATAATTCGTAGTCTGTTCGTTTCATAACGATGAATGGTATCATAATACTTTGCAAAGGATTCTTCAAAAAGGTCGGTCCATAGACGATTTATCTTAGCAAATCGCTCTCCAATGAGGCCGTATAACTTTAAGTACGTTCTCTCCTGAGAGCAACATTCAATGATCATTGAAGGAAGTTCTGGCTCTTGTCCCGGTGGTAGTGTGACTTTCATCAGCTTGTGACAACATTCCTCAGGATCGATACTGGACTTGATGGTCAAGTATATAGTTCGTCGTAAGTTGCCAAGATCTGTGTTACTCTGGTCCTTGATTTCTAACGCCTTTTCTTCCTGTTTCTCCTCGTCGTCCTCGCTATCATCATCTTCGTCCTCGTCACCCTCATCGTCACTTCCCTCCCCAAGAATCTCTGCCTTAAGTCGTTTGTATAACTCTTCGTTTTGTTCCCATTCAGGATCGAATTTGAAAATGTTGAGTCCATCCTGTACGTCAATTTCATCGTCTAAGGCTGTGCGGTGTGTGATTTGATCTTCCTCCTCCACAAGATCCAACTCTTCTTTTATCGCAGGATTATCTTTGTATTTGTCTTTTCGAACTTGAAAGAGAACTTCAATCATGTATTGTACTCGTTTGTCGATATCTGCCTCATTCAAAATGTTTCTAAACTGGTCGAACACTGCTAGAGCAATTGGCCCACTCATCTCTTCCAAATGTTGGCCCACCTCACGCGTTAATCCTACCGCAATCTCAACACTATCGTCCGTTGGTTTATTGAGAAGTAACAACAAGATCTGGGCTGCGACAACCTCGTTTGCTACCTGCTGGTTACAAAGGTGAGCGATGAATGTGGTGGCAGAAAGACACACGGCCTTATCGTTTCTTTTGAAACCTTTCTTGAATTGCACTACAAGGCGCTTCAAAAGAAGCTCTCCAACTTGAGGGAGCTTTGTGTTGACAATCGCGGCCATTGCGGCATATATCGGCGTGAATGGCAGACTGGCAGCCTGGGCCTTCATGATGCTCCTACAGAATAACCCTCGACCTCTGACCAAGTTCTCACCGAATAACTCCGGTACGATATGTTTGATATTTGAGACATTGACCTTATTGATAAGCCCATTTATCGACTTCTTCAAGGCCTCCCATGCCATTCGTTGATATTCTTTGCTCGTTTTGTCGGTAATCTGAGATTGCAGGGCCCGTAGGCGTGCAGGCGGGATATAGGTACCGCCAGATCGCATTGTAAGGAGTTTTTCATATTCGACTTTCGCGGCTGCTTGTTTGTCTTCCTCTGATCTTTCTTTAATGGGTTGTTTTCCAGCATTAGAAGAATGTCGGCGCGGAGAAGTTGGCACGCGATTAGTAGATCTCTCCTCCATGATCTTTTTCTCCGGGATAATAGAAGTAGCCATCGCGTATGAGTTGTTTGGCGACGTCGGGGGATATGTGGCCAGAAATCTTATAATGAAGCTCCTCGGTGTCGCAGGTGGCTGGGGAGCTACTACACCTTAAAAACTTGTCGAAAGTGTTGGAGCTGTCGCAATCGGTGGACTGATATCTCTTTCCTCTAGAACGTCTAGATTATTCAAGTAGTTGAAATGTGACGGTATATTTAGGTAATTAAATTCTGTTTCTGTTTCTGTTTCTGTGTTGTATGATGTGTGATGTGTGTTGTGTGTTGTGTGCAGTTGATACTTACTCAGTTACTGTATTAAACTGTGAAAAGTATTGTAAGGTTCGCGAAGGGTACAAAGTAAATTTAGGCGCAGAAGTTGCGCTAAACAAAAATAAAGTTTAGATCCCCTTCAGGTATTCTGTATTGCGAAAGACCAGATTGACTGACAGGGAGGAGCTTTCATAAACTTTTGAACAATTGACTTCATTTATTACAACTCTACAACCAAGCCAACCAAGCCACCTCATCGCATAATTTCTAAGCTTCCGATATTCGGATTCATTTTACCACATTCATTTAGAAATCTTTTTGTAACAATGGTGAGTGAGAGATATCGATCCAGTCCGGCGTCCAGCTGATCTTTCGCAAGTTTGCGCTGAATGCTATACTAAATCATACTAACCTGCACAGCTCGATCAACTCATTGGCCTCGCGATGCTCGTCGCTGCTTCAGTCGTCTTCCTTTACTACACTATTTGGACTCTTCTTATGGTACGAATGTTCTGCCCCCATCAAGATTCTTTGTGGCTAATTTAGGGACTAGCCATTCGTCGACTCTGATCATCCTCTTCAGAATGTATTCCCTCCTCGAGTCTGGGCAATTAGAATACCTGTTATCCTTATCCTATTGGCATCGGCTGTAGTTGGGTCCTTTTTGAGCGTGGTTATGATCAGAAGCAACAGAAAGAAGGCTGCCAAAGCGAAGGCGGCTTTGAAGAAGAAGGCGTAAATGGGTTGTGGTTATACTCGGGCGAATTTGGGTAATGGGATTGATGTTGGAACAGAAAAATGTTATATTTATGTGACATCGAACTCTCATTACATGTTCGCCTGGTAGTCAGTGAGAGTGGGAGCCTGTGGAAAACCCGGCGCAAACTGTGGAAAGGCTGACATGATCTCTTTCGGAATTTGTGAAGAATCTTATGTTTATGTTTAAAAAAAATACTCACGGTATTCATGTATCATTTCTCGGTCTATGGTCTATTGCGAAATGATAACATCAGTTGGAAAATCGAAGTTCTATTCTATGTTGTCACAAGCGAATCCTCGGAAATCATGAAGGGTTGGCTTTGTGTTTCGACATAATCTGGGAATCATTTTACACAAGCAAATGATGAGCTTGCTGTACCTGCATAAGATGGCATTCTACTCGAGTATTATTACTTGACAATCGAGCAAGCACATCCAGTCCAGGTATATATACCTGAAGAGAAGTCCGCCCCCCTTTCTATCAATATTTATGACTCTGAGACAGTGCTGTAATTGTCTAGAATGTATGCTTTGGTTTACGATACAGCTTATGCTCGGTATATTTGATCAGTCAAAAGGAAGACTATAATATAGAGGGTTTTCTGTTTCTAAGACAGCTATTTGGGTACCCAGCAATGCCTATCTAGTGTCTACAGTAGATTAATCGATACTCGTTACAGGAGGAGGTACTCTTCGTATATCTTCTTTTTAATTATTATAATTATTATTATTTGCTATGAGAGTCACTACTAATATGATCATATATATATATATATGTTTATGAATAATAATTTAGATTAAAAAGAGTATTCGAGTATAACTTGATAGATAAAGTCATATGTTTATTGATCTGGATCGAACATTGGCTGATGTATAAATAGCACAAAGGATAACACTTCAGTAGATAGACATGAATATGCTAAATGTACTCGTATATATGTCTAATAGAAACGATAGTGAGTAATCCAGATACTCCTACCTCATATATCTCACCTCATTCATTAACACATATTTACCTAGGTTATATATATATATATCTCTCTCTCTCTCTTTGAATCATAAAGTCATTTAAATGACAAGGTCGGTCATACCAGTCATTCGCCCAAGGTGTGTAACATACATGATCTTCCCCACTCTTGGCAATTGCCCCTCTATGATACCGCAAACATACAACAGTACGTACCGGTATATTATTAGGTTATTAGACTCAGGAGCTCTTTTTACAAAGAAGGAGCAACAACAACAACTATACTATACCGGTACCAACTTACATTACAATATTCCTTTTATCAACATTACTTTAATACATTCCCTAAAGATACTCACACGTACCCAAATAAATCTCGATACTTCAAATCACATTCTTTTACTGAGATTTCCCGAGCGTTCTCCTGAATTCTGACTTGAACTGTTCAGGAAGCCCGGGAATCGTATCAAGGTGTCGGAAACCCGAAACATCTCGCGCCCTCTTTATTTAATCAACCTTGGACGACCGTGTCCTAGATAATAAGCACTGCAATAGCTGCAGATACTCGCAAGTCTCTATCACACGACTTTATAACCATTTGAATGCCCACCTCATTTGATAACGAAATCAACCATACTTCAAGCGCAACATCACAGCCCAACAAAACGGGACAGAAAGGCTCTGCTGCTGGAGTGCAGATTCCCACCAAGAACGGCAGAAATGGGACGGCGAGAGATGGTAGCGGCGGTGCTGGAGGAGTTATGGCTGCCGTGACAAGGAGTAATGCAGCGAAATCTTCGTTAGTTGCTGAATTTATGAAGAACTTCCTCGGCATATTCAGTTGCTAATCTGCCAAATTCGTCTAGTAAGAACAAATCCTCCGCGATGACCTCCCAGACCCCAATACCAGAGACGCAGCCAGTCATTTCTATACAAAATGAAAGTTCCGTGACATCTCCTATGTTAGACGCGCTATCATCGACTTCTCAAGATTCTTCTGTCACGCATAACACAAATGAATGGGCCAAAAATATTCCAGCATTTTCCAGCTCTCCGAACAATTTAATGAGTCTTGGTGAATCGCCTCCTACACTACCATCTTCCTACGAAGACAAGATTACGAACTACGGCTATTCTGCGAAAGAACAAAGGGGATCTCCCAATAATCATGTTCTCTCGCCTTCTTCGCCAATAAATACAATAAGCCGTAGGAGACCGCTGAGCTATCACCTAGATGGAAGCCTTCCATATAGTCCTGAAGAATATCATTCCACTCTAGCTTATGCAGCTCGACGTACCTCGACATATTCACAGCAATCACAAGCGCCACGATATAATCCTTATCCGCCACTGCCACATCAATCTCAAGCCCACTTTCATGGAGTACCTGATGCGAATCTTATGTTATCGCCAAGAACTCCGGGTCTAGTCCCTGGTGACAAGGGCTTTTATTGTGGATTTGATAGTTTGCCGGTTCAAGACATAAACAAATCCCCAAGCAGTGTCATCGTTACCGGATATGAGGGTGGCTTAAGTATTCACAGTGTCACCAAGAGAGGTCTAAATAGAATCCATGTTTTAGAGGGTTTGAGAGGTGCGGTTTACAACACCAAGATCCTTCCGTGGACCGCTCCGTCGGAACATTCCTTCCAATACCCTTTGATCGCTGTCGTTGTTCACGGCCCCATTCGAACAATCAGTGATAGGCCCAGTGCCGAATATGCTATGCCTTCTGGAAGCGCGCCAGTGCCAATTAATGAAGGCAGTCGAAGTTCCCCAAGGCAACCTACCCGCTCTATCGATGGAGATAACAATGATGACTTGATAGAATATTATCAAACGACAGTTGAAGTATATTCCTTATGTACAAGGAAACATATTGCTACCTTGCTATCTACTCCGAAAACACACTTACCAATACCTCCATCAAGCCCTTTGTTTACACCACCAGCCCCTGTTGGCTCTCTCACAATTCGAGCGGATAGGGGTAATGTTGTCGTAGCCTCGGGTGTAAGTGGCGAAACCTGGGTTTTCCGACAGCGGGACAACAGTGTGTCAAAAATCGAGTTTAAGTGCATTGGGAAAGTATGGACGACTGTTCAACATGGTCTTTCTGTGGATCCAGCGGTATTCAACAGCCTTGCTGAAGGTGGACGTCAATCTGAAACCGGCACACGATCTCAATACAAAGCCTCGATATTATCTTTGAATGGACGTTGGCTGGCCTATTGTCCCTCGGCAGCAACGTCCCAGATATCGCTCCGTGCTACTGTCCCAGGAACTGTTACCACCGGACGCATGCCTGGTTTGAATTCGCAAGCTCCACCTCATCTTCCTGTGGTAAATTGTCTAGTGGATACTCCCGGTGGGGAAGGGATGTTGAAGCAAGTTCTTCAAGCTGCAACACAAGGAATAGTTGAGATTTCGGGATATGTTGGAAAGCAAGGTGCTCAGTATTGGAACAATTACTGGAACAAACCCACGTCACCTCCGCAAATGAATGGTGCGAACGCGTATTCACCTCCACATAACGTTTCTCCCCAGTTTCCACCTACACATGGTCTTAATAGCCAGACAAACACCACAAGCAAGGATCCTGGACTGATATCAATTCTAGACCTAGATTCGCTGTCACAACAGACCTCTGGATCTTCGATTCACCCTCTGGCTACTTTCTCCGTACCTCATGGATGTAGTTTTCTGTCACTTGCGCCGAGCGGTCTCGCTTTGTTTACGGCAAGTAGTAAAGGTGATGTCCAGTTTGTCTGGGATCTCATGCGGCTGCACTACTCAAGGTCATCTCTTCTTAAGGGGGCCTCTCAAAACGGAGGTGTACATGGATCACATGTTCGACCGATTGCACAATTCTCGCGCATGACTATTGCAAGGATTGTGGATGTCGTATGGACTGCGCCACATGGTGAGCGGGCTGCGATGGTTACTGAGCCTGGAACGGTTCATATCCTCGACCTCCCAGCTAGCGCCTTTATCTGGCCACCACCACGTCGACGAGTTCACTCGGGGAGTTCTGATCAGGCGAATCCGGATGTTAACAATGCTGCTCGATCTGCTGTTGGTGTGGCTTCAAGTGCTGTGTCGTCGTTGTGGACCGTAGCTCGACCTCTAGTGGGCTCTCGCAGGCGTCGAAGTAGTGTTGGTATTCCGGGTATCACTGCTGCAAGTGTGAAATCGCAAGCCGGCCAGGGAACACAGGCATTAGCCGCTGGAATTAGTCGGTCTGTGGGCGCTGCAACTGGGAAGATGAACGAAATGCGAAAATCAGGAGGTACAAAATTGCACTTACCTAAGAGCAGAACCATTCCCAACCCAAACTGCGTCAGGTTTTACAATGGGAAGCATGGCGATTCGATTGTCGCAATCGGTGGGGGCATCGTCCGAATCTATACAGTGAAAAACAGAAGAGCAGATCGTCCAGTAGATAAACAAAAAGCATCCAGGGGTGCCAAATACGTCGAGTACCTACTACCATCTCTGCCTGACTTTAAAATCGCGCCAGGGCCAATATTCGAGGATGTTCTTGAAACATTGGCCACCGACACAGGAGATAATTGGAAAGCGAGACAGGTATCACCTCCAGTAGTATCACGCCGCTCTGGAGCTGAAAGTTCGATTCCTCAAGCAGAGATTGAATCGAACGCGCCATATCAGCCATTTCATACCGACCGCCGCGTTAACCTACATGTCTATATCCACGAAAAGGCTACGCCATCATCATCCTCCACATTTACAGCCAGTTCATCTAACGATATTGTGACTGAAGCATCAAAAAGCCCGTGGGCTTTTGGTGGCCCTATAAGAAGTGTGAGATTAGACGTTGGCCCACCTCAACTTACAGAGGATGATTACGAAACTTCATCTTACCATCGGGCTCTTCCGTCCTCTGCCATCGAGCGAGTAATGAGAATTGCAGACAGCAGTCATGAGGATATGGAGCAGATCGTGGTCACCACGAGACGTCGTAAAGGTGCTAGTCCTACCGGTGTCTTAAGCCCAGGTACTGAAGACGAGGAAGGCTTCTTTGAAGACGACTGCGAAGTCCTGGATTTTGCTAGCCAGCGAGTTTGATTGACTACAACATTTCCAATAATTATTCTCACACTCTCTGACAAGTACACCAAGACAGTGACGAACCAACCATAGCTTGGTCTTGGTTCTTGTCTCACAAGTGATGCACCTATCATCAAGCGTTCCTTGTTTTGGTATCAGTACAGATTTAATAGGGCCTTCACGGGTCTAAAGCTACTGGCTTGCTTCAGTCCTACGATACGGGAATCTTTTGGTAGGGGATGGCAGTGAGTATATATGCATAGCTTAGGTTCGACGGCGTTTTTGGTTAAGACACAAGGTACCTTGGCTGGGAATTACTGAATGGAGTGCCGGTGATATGGAATGGCTTGGATTATACAGAATGGCCTGATATGCTTTCGTAAGATACCATAAATAAGAACAAGAATGATCAAACATTTACGATCGGCGATTCTATCCCTTTGCAATTTCTTTGGTTCGTAGTGCCGAGCTTCGCAGATTAGTATCTGCTGATTGTGTTTTTGACCCACGATGCCATTTAAGTACAAATCAGACACTTTTTGAAACGTAAGTGAGGTATCGCAAACAGATACTTTACGGAGCAGCAAATAACTCGAGCTTTTGTAGAAGTGATATGCATATTCCAAACCCCCGTTTGAGCGTATACTACATATTTTGATCGCTCGTTAACTCGAAAAGTTCACCCATAGGATAAGCATGGGGCATATATACGTCACAAATTCATGGTACAAGCTTCATTATCCAGTTCTTATGTCTTGACCGTGATTTCAGAGTCTCCAGTAGCTGTGAAATATTAACACCACAGTTTTGATCCCTGACTCAAGATCGTTCTCCATTGCATAATCATTGAAGGCTAGCTCGGCTTTCTTCTTGCGATAACTAACTTGATATCGGGAAATGGCAATATCACATAAAAGGATGCCCCCAGTGCCAAAATGACTGGGTTTTGATGAAGCCTCTCGAAGCATGCAGTCCTCACTCATGATGCCTTACATAAATCTCCATACAGCGCCTGCAACAGTGGTATCATCTTCATCCTCTAAACTCCCATTTACACTTTGAATCCATCCTTGTTCCAATGCCACCGCATCTGATTCGATTTGCGCCATGGCCTCCAACTCTAGAAGCATGCCACCCACTAAGTCCCTAACCCCACCCACCACACTCGCCATTGTAGACTCATGTTCTAACCTCCCAAGGTTTCCTAAGGCATCCCCCCATCCTTCGAGCTTCCTGTTCAGAACCGAGCATTCATCTTTCCACGCCATGTCCAATTCTTCAATAAACACAATCTCCTCTTCCTCATCTAACATTTCGTCATCCTCTCTATCCCTTAATATCTCCTCACATCTGATCACCCACTTTTCGAATTTCCTCACCAACCTCAGATATTTTCCTCCTGGCTCACCCAAATTCCAAGTTTCATTAACTATCTCATCAAGAAATTGTATCCTTTCTTCCAAGCCCCATCCCGGGGTCACTACATCTTGCCACTCTTTTAAAGCCGCAGCATTGATTCTTCCAGCCTCCTCCACCTCCAGATGAACTAACTCATCATGTCTTCTCACTATCGATTGGAATTTTGTTCCAAGCTTTTTCTTTGCACTGACTTTCCATTGTGTGTTGACCAAATCTGCATCCCTATGCAGTATATGCAGCTGTAATAACTCGTTTTGGAGCTTTGCTGTCTCCGCAGTTATTGCGATGTTGGAAGGCAGTTTGCTGGGAGTCGGGGCAACGAGAAATGCCGCAGGATGAGGTTTGGATCCAATGTTCTTTGCAGGGGAAAAGTGTTGTTGAAGAGTAGAGAATGCAGGTTTGCGGACTGACGGATCTGCGTATAGAGATTGTGGTCGTGTTTTCACTGTTACATCTTGCGGTTGTGATCTTTGCGATGATTGACTTGGTGGGCGAAGGACGGCGGGGGTATTGTTTAAAATTGTCGATGACGATGTGGTGCGTAGATGACCTGGTCGTGCAGTGATAGAATTGATCGATGAGGTACGAATGTGTCGATTTGTAGAAGTTATAGGTGGTCTTGAACGATCCTTCACCGGTTCAGATAATGCGGCAGATGTATTTCGAACTGAGGTCGATCGAGAAAGTCCACTCGTAGAAGATTTGCTTGAGTTTGTCCGGGGTGGAGGTCGCATGGAAGCATTGCTGGTCCCAACTGAGCTTATGCTTGGAGGTCGTGCAGATGTTGACGTGCTTGATCCAGTTGATATAGTTGTTCTTCGAGGTTGAATAGTAGGTAAACGACTAGGAGAAGCTGTATTTTCAGAAGCTACAGTCACAGATGGTTTATCGGGTCTGCTAAGATTGGTGATTCTCTCTGATGGTTTGCGAATTGACCTCGTCCTTGAAGGTAGTGTAGACATAATATAATCCTTTGATGTGAAATAGTACTAGAATAGTTGAATAGTGTTAGCAGCGAAAGTATACTCGAGTAGATAGTCAGATGTAACTTGTAACTATATCAATTGTGATAGGATGCGTAATCTGTAATCGATAACAAGGATGAACTGGCCAAGTTGCCGGGGCCGGGATCACATGCTAGACGGCACTTATACTTAATTACTACTTTATAGTCTTTTTTTAGTATCAAAAATAAGAATATATCAACTTCAAGTTAAAGATACTATATTAAAAATTCAATTTTGAGATATCCCGTATAGACAGAGAAGGCATACCAAAGCATATTACCTAGATATATAATACACCTTGGAATGGAACGAACTCGGAGCGACACATCTCCATCTCTGAAAGATATCTATCCCATGATTCCCATCTCATCCATCCTACGCATTGAATTGTCCATAATAAATGAAATGAGATCAATGTCCCCCTTCACCTTTCCTTTCCTTCCATCCCCATCCCATCCCATCCCATCCTATCTAGTCGGCCACTCGCTCTCTCTCTCTCTCTCTCTCTCTCTCTCCTTTTCTCTGTCGATTTCCTTTAGAACTTCTCATCTGTTTCAATTTTATCATAGTCAATATCTGCATCCATGCAGATTGGGACATATTCATTTCAAGAGGGATTTAGTCAAACAAATGCATGAACTTAAGAAAAGATAACCTGATCTAGTCCATTCATGGCCTCACGAAACTCCAATTTCATCATTCCGTTGTTTGACAATTTCAAGGGATCCTGGCTAATGACCTCGTTTTATATCATACCTAAGAGTACCAAGTTGACTGCTTTGAAAATCAAATATTTTCTCATCCACCTTGAATTTGGATGATTTAATTCACTTCCAACAATTGAAAAGGAGAGCTGAGATACCTAATACTGAGATACCCAATAATGAGATGGATACAACAACCACTTCACTATATCAAGAACCACACTCAAGGTATACAAAGACACTTCCCAGTACTCCAATAGAGTTGAAAGATTCGCAACAAACAATCATGTCGAAAGACTTACCTTCTTTGCCAGAAGGAGAGAGTTCTCTACCAGAGAGAAAAGTCTCAAAGGCAATGTCCATTCCACGTCGAGCGGTTGGAAGTACTTCGAGTGCTTCCGAAAAGAATTCAATTGCGAGCACATCATCTTCAGGTTACTCTGATTCTGTGCTTTCTCGAAGTTTGTCTGGGAATAGCAATTTTACAAAAGATTCACTCAGTTATGCTGGATCCGAATTTTGCAAAACTCCCCCAATATCGGAGAGAGGTGATCATAGACAGACATCTCCTAAAATACCAAACACAGATTCAGAAAGTCTGAGATCGATAGAAATTTGGAGACGACGGTCTTTGGTAGCCCAGAAGGGAATTGAATTTCCCAATTTGAAACTCCAAAAGAGCAATGGCTCAACCGCGAGTCCTCCTTCCAAAAGCATCAACCCAGCACCGGACCGTTCCTTACCCAAATTACATAGTCAGATTATCCGATCTAGAGGACTTTCGGATCGAGAACGAGGTCTCATACCAACTCGTGAAGCACCGCAAGCCCCAGCAGCTCCGCCAATGGGAGCAAAGATTTCGAAGCTGAAAGATATCAGCAAACGAAAAGCCACAGATCAGTCCGATGAATCTAGTAGGCATAGCGACCGTAACACTGATCAGTCCCGATATCTCAGAGAAGGCAACACGTCAAACTCGACAAACTCGCCTTATTCGTCCAATGGTCGTCTGCCAATATTAGAATATTTGAGATCGGACAAAACCCAAAGTCCGCCCTCTACGCCACGAGTCTTTTCGCCAACTACACCACTACAAGATCTACCACCCGCACCTCAAATACCCACGAAGTCTGATGATGGCCACATAGGCATTCCCGTTCCAACAGCAGGCGGTCCGGCGACTTTACGAGAGTCGCCCCTCATATCTGACCTCCTTAATAGCAGTCACTCCCGGGACCCCTCTGAGACCTTGACCATCACATCTCTCCCAGACGTCGTCCGCTCCCCGCAACCCCAAAAGCCGCATGCCACAAACGCCATCCTTACACCTCAGCCATCACCCCCGGTCGAATCAGCACCCTTCTCGCCATCTATCGCATCCTCAACTCCGACTGTTACGACAAACCCTCATTCCCGACAAACCTCTCGGACAACTACCTCTCGCGCAACATCTCTCTCTTACTCATATTTTCCCTTATCCTCATCCTCATCCTCAGTTCCCGCTCCTGGGACCTTTTTAACCGCTCCTCCCATTACATCCCAACATACCGATTGTTTTCAGAATCACAGATTTATGCGGCGATCACGAAATAACATATGCCCACTTCAATGTCAAACTTGCTCGAAGTCAGACTTCGAACAACAATGGAAATGTACCTGGTGCTGCTTGAGAGTTTGTGGCGATTGCATGGCTATTTTGATAACCGTGCGGAAAGACTTACGAACTTTCCTAGGATTGATTGGAAGTGACGTACCATATGAATCTGATGGCAATACTATAGGGGTAGGGAACGATATTGGTGAGAGGAGTGGAAATATGAACCAGGAAAACGAGACTCGTCGATTGGGTGTAAAGGCATGAGAGAACTAAACGGACATTTGATGGGATATATAAATATTTGCAGCGGTGCTATGGACTGGGTATACCATGGGATTACACAGTCAAAAAGCGGTTTTCATTTGTTAATTTCAATTATCTCGTCGTGCGTGGTAGTACACATAGGAGTTCATTTAGAGCTTTGGATGTATTGCCGGAACTGGCCCTGCATATTCACATGCGAGCCGACAGGTGATAGCGGGCATAAGAAAAGGCTGAGCTCCTTTTGGGATAAACAGGACAGGCTTTTGTGTATATGAATAGTGACTGGTGAACCTGTATAGTATATTAGCGATACCTCAGCGAAAATCAACTTGTTATAGTTATGATGACATCATGTCAAAGTGTCTAGTTAAATAACCTAGGTTACCCTTGGGAATAAACTTCACGATCCTTCTAGTTGTATGTTTATATATTAGATTATATATTCGGGGACATCAGCTTTGATATCGGCATAACCTTTATAGAAAGAGATTTTCAGTGATACGTTTAGTTTGATTGACAATTATATACACATCATCTCAAATATTGATACAATTTTCGTGAGCTTACCTCGTATAAGGTGGTACAGTATAGCGCTAGCAAAAACCTTAAATGACTCATTTCTACTTAACTATAATCCTTGAATTACTCGTAAAAGACTCTTGATGAGTCGAAACTCAAACTACTCTATTCAGACAACCCAACTCCAATTCATAGATACGATGTTTCGGAAATCTCCATAGAGCCGTCGAGATCCAAAGGCATTTCTTATCCATCCAGAAGCATAAGTACTGAGTATACAATAATCAGTTCCCATTCGTGTTTCTTGATAATCAAAACTCCAAGCACCAATTTTATACAACATAACATCATAATTCCTTGGACATTTAAAGCTTATTTCTCATATCACATTACCTGCTCTCATGTCATTAGCCCAAATGACTTCGGGTCTTTATCCTCGCCCTGAAGGGGTCCACGCAATTCCAGTCGAACTTTTGGATTTGCGACCAGACTCGGCAATAGATTATGATCTTCTGCACCCAAAGCCAATTTCAAGTGAGAAAAATGTATGGTTTTTCTGGCATAGTGGTTTCCAACATATGCATCATTACGCTCAACGTAATATTCGTGCCTGGCACCGGCGGTTGTCAAAACAAGGTTGGACAATCCGTGGACTCGATCGTCAACCATCTTCACCTCTCAACGTGGCGAACTTCCTCAATACCAGCGATCTCAGCATCTTCCCCCGAGCTTTCGTAGACGGTACGATTGAAGGTGACTACAGCCCCCAACACATCTCTGACCTCGTCCGATTTCCCCTCCTGCTCAAGTACGGCGGTGTGTATGCCGATGTAGGAATGATGCAAATCGGTGACTTGGAACGTTTGTGGCGAGAAACCATCGACGATGATGCTTCGCCATTCGAGATTCTGTCCTATAATGCAGGGACCGTTACAGAGCGCCGCCTCACGAATTACTTCCTGGCTTCTAAACGAAACAACCCTATGGTTGAGCGATGGCACAAGCTATTGCTGGCATTATGGGCTGCAGATGGTGGTAAGACGAGCACCGAGAGAATGCACTCCAGTCCTCTGTTGAAGGGGGTCGAATTAATGGGGGGCTCATTCACCATTGAGGAAGACGGGGAAACGATTTCAGCTGAGGAATGCAGCAAGCTATTGACAGATTACATCATCCAGGGACAAGCAATGACGATGGTAATGGGACTAATTGATGAAGAGGACCAATGGGATGGGCCAAAATATTCCGCTGAGCATGTATATGCCATCGAATACATGGAAGGCTCTCAGCTTATCAACGAGCTTACGGCTTGGGATGGGCAGAAGGCATTTAATCTAATGTCACTCTCAATCCCTCGTGACGGTGAGGTAGAGACTCCAGAGCAAGGGGAGGCAAGAGCAATTGTGGAGGCATGTTTGGAGAGAAGTTTTGGTTTCAAACTAGCTCATGGTCTTATTTTACGTGTGTTCGGAGAGACGTTGGGGTCGCTGTGGAGGAAGCATGACGGGTCAGATATAATACCTGGAACGTATGCGGATTGGTTAAGATATGGGATGATATATTGGACGCAAGACAGACTTCCATCTAGGATGAATTTTCGGATCATTGAACCAATTAAAAGAGGATTATTACTAGATGACAATTAAGAGTTAGTCTAAGAGAGTATTATTATATTAAAGCGTGAAGTGGGGATATCCACGATTATTTGAATTTGAGCTTGCGTGGAGAGGAAGATGAAGAAGATAAGAAGACATTTCAATAGTTCGGAGTAGCAATTGGAGGGCATTGTACATCCCAAGACTGAACAGATCCGGTTCTCCCACAATGAAATTCAGGTATTGATCGAAGAATTGAGCAATGTTCTCTGATGTTCCAGCTTCCGCAGTTTGTTTTGCGAAAGCTTCCAGTAATGCGCGGGGTTATTGAGGGATAGATACTTTACAGAAGATAATGTATATCTGTGCTGTGTAAAACAATTAATTATACTGTACATTGTGCACTAAAACCGAGCCACCTTGAACAACTACCGGTACTGTATTCTTTGAATAATATTCTCTGGGAGTAGGTCACGCATCACGAACTTGGAGAACTGGTACTCATGTCGCTAGAAAGTCCGCGACTCGGGCGCTCCCGCATACTAAAAGGGATGAATCTGAACTCTAAAAAGGAAAACTACTCGAGTATTCAACCAATAATATTCAAATCTTTTATATAGAGTATTTGATATTGATTCTATTAATGGGCCCATTTAGTCTCCCGAGTTGCGGACTTTCTGGTGGTTAAGCTTGATATACCGCTAGAACTTCCAGATGGAATCTTCCAATCGCCACCAAATAGAATCGTACCAGGTATCTACGGTATTATAGTAGAACCCCAAATCCGAATACGATGGGATCCCGGCTGGATCCATCTTTGCGACCACTCCGAGGATTGATTGGTAACTCGAGTATTCGGGGTTTGAATATGATCCCATAGATTCCGTATTCCGTACTCAGGGCCATTTATGATCTTTCGATTGCGGGGCGGAGGATCCTCATGTTTGAAATCCTAATAATGCTCATTCACATTTCACATATACCAGATTACTGTACTAGAGATACAACGGAACTCGCATTATAAAAGCTTGGGCAGCAGTGGCATTGTGAGGTAAAAGAGAAGATCGATCTACTTCAGTAGTTTAAGCCTACCTAGGTATATATATAAATACTTCGTAAATTACTATACAAAGAGAAATAACTAACTTGAAAGGATTATTATTTAGCCAGGTAGTTTAATTGACCAATTATCAATTGCTTATTCCTCATAATTATCTATCCGGAGAAAGTCGCATATAATGCCGAGCTAAATTGGTTTATTAGTGTCAAAGTTCTTACTGTACCATACCGTATTACTCTACCGGTACTCTACTCAACCCAACTTTCCATCTCCTCGGCCTATTGTTCCCTTTCACTTTCATACATAAAGTCTTCCTTTCCAAGTATCCTTTACTCATCGTATTCCCTTATTTAAAGGAAAGGAAATTCCCAAAGTCAACAACCAATTGACGAACTAGTAAATAATCATGGAAGCCGTACTCAAAGGCCGGGCAATGTGCCCATTTCTCCAAAAGACTTCTCCCGCAACCCTTCGATCTTTATCAACCTCTACTCGCCCTCATGCCTCTGCAGGCGGTGGAAGTATGTCGAATCTTCAGACCATTGCAGGACGCTGTCCAGTCATGGGTAAAGCTCTCGCCGTTCAGACCGCAAAGGCCGGAAAGGTTGGATTTGGTGGCGTTGCTGCTATGAAGGTCATCCGAGCCTTTTCCAGTAAAGTTAGCACCGGAAAAGCAAAGCTTCATACCAGCAGATCTCATGAAGCCAGGGCTGTCGAGGATACCGTCTTTGGTCGCGAAAGTGGTATGTGTTTTTATGAAATCCACCTCACTGTTCAAGTCGAGCCCGTCACATTCTAACATCAGATGTATAGTACCGTTTCAACATATCAAGCAAACACGCCAACCATCTCAAGCTACTCATCATGAACAATCTAAAGCCGCCAAATTTGATTATGAAGGATTTTACAATGCGGAATTGGATAAGAAGCACAAGGATAAATCCTACCGCTACTTCAACAACATCAACCGTTTGGCCAAAGAATTTCCCCGCGCTCACATGGCCGATAAGAACGAAAAAGTGACGGTATGGTGTTCTAACGATTATCTTGGAATGGGCCGGAATCCTCAAGTCCTAAAGACGATGCATGAAACCCTTGATGAATATGGTGCTGGTGCTGGTGGAACCAGAAATATTTCTGGTCATAATCAACATGCAGTTGGTCTCGAGGCCTCAATTGCGAAACTTCATGCTAAGGATGCTGCGCTTGTTTTTACTTCTTGCTATGTTGCGAACGATGCGACTCTTGCGACCCTCGGTAGCAAATTGCCTGATTGTGTTATTTTGTCCGATTCTTTGAATCATGCTTCGATGATTCAGGGTATTAGACATTCTGGCGCGAAGAAGCTTGTCTTCAAACACAATGATTTGGAAGATTTAGAGGCCAAGTTGGCATCTCTTCCGCGTGAAGTCCCTAAGATCATCGCATTCGAATCTGTATACAGCATGTGTGGCTCAATTGGACCTATTGGAGGAATTTGTGATTTGGCCGAGAAATATGGCGCACTTACCTTTCTCGATGAAGTCCATGCAGTAGGCATGTATGGACCACATGGTGCCGGTGTAGCCGAACATCTAGATTATGAGGCTCACCTTGCAGGTCGTCCGCAAGGCACCATCATGGATCGTGTGGACATCATTACCGGGACTTTAGGCAAAGCATATGGATGTGTTGGTGGCTACATCGCCGGATCTCATAAGATGGTCGATGCCATCCGATCTCTTGCCCCTGGTTTCATTTTCACCACCTCTCTTCCACCCGCAACCATGGCTGGCGCACAAGCCGCCATTGAATACCAATCGGAATATCAAGGTGACCGCCGTCTCCAACAACTCCATACCCGGGCCGTCAAAGACTCACTTAGCGAACGCGATATTCCAGTTATCCCCAATCCTTCTCACATCATCCCCGTCCTAGTTGGAAACGCCGAACTTGCAAAACGTGCATCCGACATGCTCCTTGAAGTTCACGGTATTTATGTACAATCCATTAATTATCCTACCGTTCCCGTTGGTCAAGAGCGTCTTCGTATCACTCCTACGCCAGGTCATGTTCGCGAATATCGCGAGCATCTCATCAACGCCATTGATTCTGTGTTTACCGAACTCGGCATCAAGCGCACTTCCGAATGGGCCGCTAAGGGTGGTTTCATTGGTGTAGGCGAAGCTAATGTTGAAGTTTCAGAACCACTTTGGACCGACAAGCAACTTGGTGTCGACCAATTTGTCAAGGAACTGAAGGCTACCGGTCCATTGGGTGTCATGGAGGCGCTTCTAGAGCGGGAGACGAGAGAAACAGCTGAGGCCGTTAGTTCTGCGGCTCAGTAGCATTCTCTCCTACACAACAATTATCTCTCGCGGTATTCATAGTGAAAGCGTGATGAGAAAAAGGATGGATAAAAATGCTCCTCGGACCCCAAATCACGATCTTTTTGAGCTTGCACAAGATTTGAGACGATAGTTTATAATGATGGCATGGATAGCTGCTGATATCCGCTAGTATTCATGCGCATGTTGGCTATTTAGTTTAGCGTGATAGCATATGTTTTTGGGTTTGATTGAACCCACACTGATCAATTCGGCTGTACATTACATATTTAATTGAAAACCTTGTATGTATATTGATGTGACCTTTCGTGACACTGCAAAGCAGAAGAGTTTGAACAGAATATAGCCACCCAATTGATATCGAAGTAAGTCTGTCGCCATGAATTCAGGAAGCAAAGGGTGGAAGGAGAGTAGCTATCGAGGCTTCTCAAATTTCTATTTTGGCAGAAATGCCATCTAATATCGATTGATAAGGAAGACAGATGATGTTCTTATGTACTCTTGATTATCAAGAAATGACAGAGCAAACTTTGTTTTATACAGCATCGCAATGGGAATTTGTATCGAAGGGTGTCACTGACATTATCGAACAACAGAATAGGGGGCAACTAGTAGGGATGACTCTCAGTCGAAGACGTCTGAATCTACATTTGATTTGCTAAAACATTATTGCCATGCTCCCCATAAATCTGCTTTTCCGGTGAGTTGTAAATGTTTTCGGACGCAGCGTTTGGTATATCCCATCCTCATCCTCTCCCATCTTATCTTAGGCCTAGGATGGAACTCCTATATCCGAGTCCTTTCAATTTTGTGAATATCCTTATCCTGCTGAGCCTTTGAAAGAGTTCTATTTATCCTTATTCTAAAGCGAATATAATAGATATCATATGTGTTACCAAGATATTTAGTATTATATAATAATCATATGAGATGCTATCATCTTATCCTCTCTGATCCTATACTGAATTGTCCATATCCTATTATAGCCTCCCAGAGTTGAAACTCCTTATCCTGCCTAGCCTTTCTAATACTATCATCCTGCCTGTCCTAATCTGAAGAATAGGATAGGATGAGGGGTTTAAACACTATTCGGAGGTGTCTGATATGTCACAAAAAGAACTGGACAAGCCCCTGAATCAATCGGGGTGATGCTGAGGTGAAGTTGAGCTGACTGGTGTTGTCATCCTATATGATTGGTTTCCCCCACAGTAGTCATAATTGCAGTATCACCAGGACCTCACCAAATGCATATGTAGTACAGCCATGGACCCTAGATGTCCTTTCCTGATTCATCTACCAACAACTATCTAGATATATATGCCATCCGAGCCTCCCCACCTCAAGCCCATGACAGGACACTTCAAATTCTTCCCTACTGAAAGACGGTGCTATACAATACAAAGATTTGACAAATCTTATACTACGCTACCCACTGATGTAGTTGAGCCATAATAAGCAAATGCCAGGTGTATTCCAAGAAACAAATCCAAGTTCTGGTCCAAGAAAATGTCCAAAGGTAGAGTGAAGCCAGTGTCAAGCAGAGTTGAGAAGCTAGCCATCCAATGGTAGCAAAGTGTGTGAAAGGCATGCACGCCAAAAAAGGAAGGAAAATTTCAGTGATAAGAAGTGTAATATGCAGGTGGATCTATCGGTCATTGCTATTGTCGTTTTCGTTGTGTATTTTTTTTGTTATTGTGGAGTTCAATGTCGTGGCAAGGTCCAAGTCGATCAACCAGCTCGAGGAAGCTAATTAATAATAGATGTTCTTTCAATTATTCATCTCATGAATCCGACCCAGCAGGAAATAGACCTCCACATATGTCCAGTGCACCCTCAACAGCCACTTCAAGTTCACCAACCCTATCCTTCAACCCCTTATTTTCGGCTCTCAATAACCCTACCGTATCCCATGCCATTGAAGCTCCCTGGCCACTGCAATTCAAACATCCACTTGCAGGACTCGGCTCGCTGGAGCCGATTCCCAGTATTTTCTTAAAAGTTGATGTTTGTGGTTTTGGTTTTGGTTTTGGTTTTAACTGAACGACTATCGTAGGATTACTAGTGAGTTGAGCATCTTTTTGTAGAGCACCAACACGTCCAAATGACGAAGTAACATCAGGGGTGCTGTCTCTTGTACTATCTCTGGTCATGACAGTCGAGACTGTAAGTGTTGGACTTCTGCTCCTGGAGAAGACACTTTCACCACCACCGCTAGCAGTATCATCATCACTTTCCCCACTCAAGTCTGTACTACTTGCACTTTTCCTCCATTTTACTCTTGTGTCTTGGGGGACCCCAAGATCTTCTTCCCCGGCTGTGGAACAGCAGCTTGCACAATGTTGTGAAATACTCGCTGCTTCTTCAGTTTTCTTCATCCGAGAAGTAATCTGATCTCTGTCTTCCACCCGAGCCTGCTTTTCTCCAGCGAGTTGGTTCACTATTTCCTCCATGACAGTGTCTTGTTCAGTAACTTTCTTGGCCATATCTTCAAGTTGAAGTTTGAGGTGTTTAGCGCGGAGTTCGGCTTCTTCAAGTTCTTCTCCTTGGGCATCCTTCTCGGCTTTCATTTCATGGAATTCGAGTGTGCGGAGTTTGTATGCGGTTTGAAGTTTTAATAGCAGACCTTCCGCGTTGACGAGAAGGTTCTTGAATGCAGCAGGTGAAAAGGGATCAGCTTGACCGGATGGAAATAGTGATGAGTGGATGTCAAGCGCTAGATATTCGTCGTTGTTCCCATCTGAAGGCAATTGATTTGATTTGGTAGGAGTTTTTGGGGATGAGAAGAATCCGAACACCGAGGAGCCAGTTGATTTTGCGGGAGTAGAGTTGAAATCGAGGACAGGGAGAGTGCTCTTTCTCTCGAAATTTGGAGTCGGCGAAGGGTCTCTAGTATATGGTATTCTCGAGTCCGATCCATCTTGTTCTGATCGTGCAACTTCGGTAGTTGAGGAACCACCAAACCAACCACTTCTCCCCCCTTTTGACCTATCGGTCACTCTTGGATGACCACCTTGATCCCCAGTCAACGACGCCATGTATTCGAAATGTTGACCCTCCTTCGTTGGAGAATTGTCTGCCGATCGAAGTAGGCCTTGAGAGTTTTGACGCGTCGTCCAAGTAGGTAATAGTTGTGTAAGAGAACGTTGATTTGTTCGAGATTGTCGCGAAGGAGTTGTTTCTTCTTCAGACGGCAGTGAGATATTCCTTGAAGTGAGGGCCGAAGTTGCAGGCAAGGGCACAAATTCTTCGATCCTGTTCTGATCTGTTCCTCCGAATACCTCATCTGCAAAGTAGTTTTCCGCCCACTCTTTCTTTAGTGGCGAGGTCGTTCGAGAGGTATCTGGGGTTGAGGAATGTGTTCGTCGATGTATCTGGGGCTGTATCTTGCCCTGTGCTGCCGGCACAGGAGATTGGAGATTTGGCATAATGAAATCCTCGGCATAAACTTGTCTCGGATGCTCTTTCCGTTTCTATTACTTCAGCTCTTTTGTATTGGGTATCTTTCAATAAATATGGATAACAAATCCTTGCTCCCTCCCTTCCTTCTTCATGCGAGGAAATGAACTCTCTCTCTTGAGTGATGTACCAAAAGGATCATCCGAGTATCGTTAATGAATGTTTCGAACGTTCCTCGTGCTGCGTATGTAACAAGAGAACTCGTTTCTTTTATTGAATATTTTCTTCAAATATCTTAGTAGCCAGAGATTCGTAGATTGCGTTCGGTACGTGGGATTATCTGATTTGAGCTTATCTTATATCTTCTAGTTTTGGAGACGTGGAAATGGTGAAGCAAGCAATCGTTAGTCATGAGATGTTTTGAGTTTGATCTGATCAATTTGATGTTGTAGAGAAGTACAATAGATTGTACGTTGTTACAATCATTACAAGATACTCGATTAATGTACTAAACTACTAGGTACG